ACTGGGTAGTGAGACACTGGGCAGTGAGACACAGGTGGTGAGACACAGGTAGTGAGACGCTGCTAGTGAGACACTGGTAGTGAGACACTGGTGGTGAGACACTGGGTAGTGAGACACTGTGTAATGAGACACTGGTGGTGAGACACTGGGTAGTGAGACACTGGGTAGTGAGACACTGGGCAGTGAGACACAGGTGGTGAGACACAGGTGGTGAGACACAGGTGGTGAGACACTGGATAGTGAGACACTGGGTAGTGAGACACTGGTGGTGAGACACTGGGTAGTGAGACACTGGGTAGTGAGACACTGGTAGTGAGACACTGGTAGTGAGACACTGGGTAGTGAGACACAGGGTAGCGAGACACAGGGTAGTGAGACACTGGGTAGTGAGACACTGGGTAGTGAGACACTGGTGGTGAGACACTGGTGGTGAGACACTGGTAATGAGACACTGGGTAGTGAGACACTGGGTAGTGAGACACTGTGTGGTGAGACACTGGGTAGTGAGACACTGGTGGTGAGACACTGCTGGCGAGACAGGTAGTGAGACACTGGTAGTGAGACACTGGGTAGTGAGACACTGGGTAGTGAGACACTGTGTAATGAGACACTGGTGGTGAGACACTGGGTAGTGAGACACTGGGTAGTGAGACACAGGTGGTGAGACACAGGTGGTGAGACACTGGGTAGTGAGACACTGGGTAGTGAGACACTGGTGGTGAGACACTGGGTAGTGAGACACCGCTAGTGAGACACAGGTAGTGAGACACTGGGTAGTGAGACACTGGGTAGTGAGACACTGGTAGTGAGACACTGGTAGTGAGACACAGGTAGTGTAGACACTGGGTAGTGAGACAGAGGGTAGTGAGACACTGGTAGTGAGACACTGGTGGTGAGACACTGGTGGTGAGACACTGGGTAGTGAGACACTGGGTAGTGAGACACTGTGTGGTGAGACACTGGGTAGTGAGACACTGGTGGTGAGACACTGCTGGCGAGACACAGGTAGTGAGACACTGGTAGTGAGACACTGGGTAGTGAGACACTGGGTAGTGAGACTGGTGGTGAGACATTGGTAGTGAGACACTGGGTGGTGTGATACTGGTAGTGAGACACTGGGTAGTGAGACACTGGGTAGTGAGACACTGGTAGTGAGACACTGGGTAGTGAGACACTGGGTGGTGAGACACAGGTAGTGTGACACTTGTAGTGAGACACTGCTAGTGAGACACTGGGTAGTGAGACACTGGTAGTGAGACACTGGGTAGTGAGACACTGGTAGTGAGACACTGGTAGTGAGACAATGGGTAGTGAGACACTGGTAGTGAGACACTGGTAGTGAGACATTGCTAGTGAGACACTGGTACTGAGACACTGGTGGTGATACACTGCTAGTGAGACACTGGGTAGTGAGACACTGGTAGTGAGACAATGGGTAGTGAGACACTGGGTAGTGAGACACTGCTAGTGAGACACGGGTGGTGAGACACTGGTAGTGGGACAGGTTGTGAGACACTGGTAGTGAGACACTGGTGGTGAGACACTGGTGGTGAGACACTGGGTAGTGAGACACTGGTGGTGAGACACTCGGTAGTGAGACACTGTTAGTGAGACACTGGTAGTGAGACACTGGTAGTGAGACACTGGTGGTAAGACACTGCTAGTGAGACACTGGGTAGTGAGACACTGGTAGTGAGACACTGGTGGTGAGACACTGCTAGTGAGACACTGGGTAGTGAGACACTGGGTAGTCAGACACTGCTAGTGAGACACTAGGTAGTGAGACACTGGGTAGTAAGACACTGCTAGTGAGACACAGGTAGTGAGACACTGGGTAGTGAGACACTGGGTAGTGAGACACTGGGTAGTGAGACACAGGTAGTGAGACACTGCTAGTGAGACACTGGGTAGTGAGACACTGGGTAGTGAGACACTGGGTAGTGAGACACAGGTTGTGAGACTAGGGCCTAAAGAAGGACGCTCTCTCTGGTGCAGACCAATTAGTGTCAAAGGCAATGCCACTTATTACCAGAGCCTGTTTTTGTTTGCATGTTCACCACAAGGTTGTGTTTTTATTTACAGAAATGGTACAGCCTATTGTTACGCTGTTAAAGACCCCACCACTTGAACTGCCTATGTAGCTCTTCTATCTCAAAAGCGACCTGGCCATCGCAAACCGTAGCTCAACGAAGTGGCCTCATCATTACCACCGTGTGGCAATGATGAGGCCCGTGGGTTCTAAATGTGCGGTGACATCGTCTCTAAATGTCTCTAAGGAAAAACGACGGAGGGAGGACCCCGGCGGAAAGAAATCCACGCCACCCACGAGGAGAGAGATCGAGACGTAAGCTCCGCATACGCAACAGCTAACAACAGCGGCATCAGCGGGTGTCAGGGCCGGTATCGAACCCACGACCTCCTGCACACCGGGCGAGGGAGCTAACATCTTCTGGCCACCGCGGCCGACGTCCTCGTCGTCGTGAGTGGATTGGCCAAAGTTCGCGACATAACGGTGCGAAATAACTTTAAAGCGATGTGTGGCGGCGCCATAGATGGAGCAAGGGGCATCAAAGGGGACCTCCCCAGGTCGATCTGGACCAGTTGAAGACCGAAAGCCTAAGACCAGCAGCTAGACAGGAAGGCCCAAGCCCAGCTAGATAGGAGACCCCCCTAGCCCCCGCTGCCCTTAGCAGGGCCGGGGGACTTTGTGCGGCTCGGCCGTGAGACTCCGGGAACCCCTGGTCCCCTGACGTCCTCGTGAGGGCCGCGTCCAGTGGGTCAGTGGTCGGAACTCGGAACCGTGGCTAGGGCCGAGTTAGAACGGCCTCCCCCCTAGGCACCCATAGCCGGAGGACCCTGAGTGTAGCCCTGTGTTACAGGGCACGTTAGCCCGGAGGCAGTACCCTCACTAGACAGTGGTGTAGGAGGACCCTGAGTGTAGCCCTGTGTTACAGGGCACGTTAGCCCAGAGGCAGTACCCTCCCTAGACAGTGGTGTAGGAGGACCCTGAGTGTAGTTCTGTGTTATAGGGCACGTTAGCCCGGAGGCAGTACCTCCCTAGAGAGTGGTGTAGGAGGACCCTGAGTGTATCCCTGTGTTATAGAGCACGTTAGCCTGGAGGCAGTACCCTCTCTAGACAGTGGTGTAGGAGGACCCTGAGTGTAGTTCTGTGTTATAGGGCACGTTAGCCTGGAGGCAGTACCCTCCCTAGACAGTGGTGTAGGAGGACCCTGAGTGTAGTTCTGTGTTATAGGGCACGTTAGTCCAGAGGCAGTACCCACCCTAGACAGTGGTGTAGGAGGACCCTGAGTGTAGCCCTGTGTTATACGGCACGTTAGCCCAGAGGCAGTACCCTCCCTAGACAGTGGTGTAGGAGTACCCTGAGTGTAGTTCTGTGTTACAGGGCACGTTAGCCCGGAGGCAGTACCCTCCCTAGACAGTGGTGTAGGAGGACCCTGAGTGTAGCCCTGTGTTATAGGGCACGTTAGCCCGGAGGCAGTACCCTCCCTAGACAGTGGTGTAGGAGGACCCTGAGTGTAGTTCTGTGTTATAGGGCACGTTAGCCCAGAGGCAGTACCCTCCCTAGACAGTGGTGTAGGAGGACCCTGAGTGTAGTTCTGTGTTATAGGGCACGTTAGCCCGGAGGCAGTACCCTCCCTAGACAGTGGTGTAGGAGGACCCTGAGTGTAGCCCTGTGTTAGGGCACGTTAACCCTAGGTGTAGAGGACAGTAACCCTGAGTGTACTGGGACTGTACTGCCGAGCGAGGTGGTTTAATGAACAGTGTTGCCTCCAAGAACCGACTCCGACGTCTCCTGAATCCACAACACTACACGTGCACAGAGACCCAGATCCCGAGAGACCCACAGAGACCCACAGACACCCAGACCAATCAAGGCTCACACAGATCATTAGAGACCCACAGAGACCCCCAGAAACCCGTAGCACAAAACCTTAACCGACTGTCTGTGTCTGGTGGTGGTGGCAGGTTTAACCATTGCACATTTATACTCGTGCCTTCTAACCCAACAAAAAGCTCTGTGGGTGTCTAATGGTGTCTCTTTGGGTGCCTGAGTGGGTCTCAATGGGAGTGGGTCTCTGTGGGTGTCTCTGTGGGTGTCTCTTTGGGTCTCTGTGGATCTCTGTGGGTGTCTCTGTGGGTGTCTCTGTGGGTGTCTCTGTGGCTGTCTCTTTGGGTCTCTGTGGGTCTCTATGGGTTTCTCTGTGGGTGTCTCTTTGGGTCTCTGTGGGTGTCTCTATGGGTGTCTATGGGTGTCTCTGTGGGTGTCTCTGTGGGTTTCTCTTTGGGTCTCTGTGGGTCTCTATCGATGTCTCTGTGGGTGTCTCTTTGGGTCTCTGTGGGTCTTTGTGGGTCTCTATGGGTGTCTCAATGGGAGTGGGTCTCTGTGGGTGTCTCTGTGGGTGTCTCTGTGGGTGTCTCCGTGGGTGTCTATGGGTGTCTCTGTGGGTCTCTGTGGGTGTCTCTGGGTGTCTCTGTGGGTGTCTCTGGGTGTCTCTGTGGGTCTCTGTGGGTGTCTCTGTGGGTGTCTCTGTGGGTGTCTCTGTGGGTCTCTGGGTATCTCAATGGGAGTGGCTCTCTGTGGGTGTCTCTGTGGGTGTCTCTGTGGGTGTCTCTTTGGGTCTCTGTGGGTTTCTATGGGTCTCTATTGGTGTCTCTGTGGGTGTCTCTGTGGGTCTCTATGGGTGTCTCTGTGGGTGTCTCTGTGGGTGTCTCTGTGGGTGTCTCTTTGGGTGTCTCTGTGGGTCTCTGTGGGTCTCTGTGGGTCTCTGTGGGTGTCTCTTTGGGTCTCTGTGGGTCTCTGTGGGTGTCTCAATGAGAGTGGGTCGCTGTGGGTGTCTCTGTGGGTGTCTCTGTCGGTCTCTATGGGTGTCTCTGTGGGTCTCTATGGGTGTCTCAATGGGAGTGGGTCTCTGTGGGTGTCTCTGTGGGTGTCTCTGTGGGTATCTCTGTGGGTGTCTCTGTGTCTCTGTGAGCCTCACAGGGATGTAGTTGTTGTTATCGTCGTCGTAGCCGTCGTTGTTGTTGCCGCCCCGGGGTTTGCCGACCTTGTCCAAAGTGAAGAACCAAATTTGTTTCATGGCCGCCAGCTCCAGCTTTTGGCGATGACTCAGCTGAGGTCCAAAGAGTTCCAGGATCGCTAAACACGTGACAACAACAACAACAGCTTAAACTTTGAACTATCTCTGTTTTGTTTACATGCCAGGTAAGGCCCCCATGAAACATGACCATCATGACATCCCTCATGCAACATGGCCACAATGAAGTCCCCCTTGCAAAATGGTCACAATGAAGTCCCCCATGCAACATGGCCACCATGACAACCCCCATGCAACATGGCCATCATGACATCCCTCATGCAACATGGCCGCAATGAAGTCTCCCTTGCAAAATGGCCACAATGAAGTCCCCCATGTAACATGGCCACCATGACGACCCCCATGTAACATGGCCGCTGTGATATCCCCCATGCAACATGGCCATCATGACATCCCTTATGCAACATGGCCGCAATGAAGTCCCCTATGCAACATGGCCACCGTGAAGTCCCCCATGCAAAATGGCGGTAGTGACTTCCCCCCATTCACCGTGGCCACGTTCCGCTCACTGCTGTTCTCACCTCGAGGCGATTTACAGCGGATAGGTCCGGTGCCGGCTGCGGACAGCGCGCTCCACGTGTTTCCACAGACTCCCTCCCTCCTTCTCGCTGCAGCTTGGCTCGTCTACACGCACACACACACACACAAAAACAATATTGCAGTAGGCTCCTCTACACACACAGACTTCACGTGAACAGTAGGCGTTAGTGCCGGGGTCGAACCCACGACCTCCTGTATACAAAGTGAGGTTGTTAACATCTCCTAGCCACCGTGGTGCCACAGAGTAGTGTACGGGCATCACAAACACACTCACTACATCTGGCGGAGGATCGTTCCCAGGTTCGGATCGCGAGTGCGAGTTGCAAGTCGATGTCAAACAAATACATATTTCATGGAAGCTCGTTCGTAAGTGTGGGTGGTGTTCGTAAGTGAGGGTGGTGTTGGTAAGTGATGGTGGTGTTGGTAAGTGAGGGTGGTGTTGGTAAGTGATGGTGGTGTTGGTAAGTGAGGGTGGTGTTAGTAAGTGTGGGTGGTGTTGGTAAGTGTGGGTGGTGTTGGTAAGTGAGGGTGGTGTTGGTAAGTGTGGGTGGTGTTGGTAAGTGCTGGTGATGTTGGTAAGTGAGGGTGGTGTTGGTAAGTGTGGGTGGTGTTGGTAAGTGTGGGTGGTGTTGGTAAGTGTGGTTGATGTTGGTAAGTACTGGTGGTGTTGGTAAGTGAGGGTGGTGTTGGTAAGTGTGGGTGGTGTTGGTAAGTATTGGCGGTGTTGGTAAGTGTGTGTGGTGTTGGTAAGTGCGGGTGGTGTTGGTAAGTGTGGGTGGTGTTGGTAAGTGTGGGTGGTGTTGGTAAGTGTGTGTGGTGTTGGTAAGTGAGGGTGGTGTTGGTAAGTGTGGGTGTTGTTGGTAAGTGAGGGTGGTGTTGGTAAGTGAGGGTGGTGTTGGTAAGTGTGGGTGGTGTTGGTAAGTGAGGGTGGTGTTGGTAAGTGAGGGTGGTGTTGGTAAGTGAGGGTGGTGTTGGTAAGTGAGGGTGGTGTTGGTAAGTGTGGGTGGTGTTGGTAAGTGTGGGTGGTGTTGGTAAGTGTGGGTGGTGTTGGTGATGGTGGTGTTGGTAAGTGAGGGTGGTGTTGGTAAGTGCTGGTAGTGTTGGTAAGTGTGAGTGCTGTTGGTAAGTGTGAGTGGTGTTGGTAAGTGTGGGTGGTGTTGGTAAGTGAGGGTGGTGTTGGTGAGGGTGGTGTTGGTAAGTGTGGGTGGTGTTGGTAAGTGTGGGTGTGGTGTTGGTAAGTGTGGGTGGTGATCGTAAGTGAGGGTGGTGTTGGTAAGTGTGGGTGGTGTTGGTAAGTGAGGGTGGTGTTGGTAAGTGTGGGTGGTGGTCGTAAGTGAGGGTGGTGTTGGTAAGTGTGGGTGGTGTTGGTAAGTGTGAGTGCTGTTGGTAAGTGTGAGTGCTGTTGGTAAGTGTGGGTGGTGTTGGTAAGTGAGGGTGGTGTTGGTAAGTGTGGGTGGTGTTGGTAAGTGTGGGTGGTGTTGGTGAGGGTGGTGTTGGTAAGTGCGGGTGGTGTCGGTATGTGAGGGTGGTGTTGGTGAGGGTGGTGTTGGTAAGTGCGGGTGGTGTCGGTATGTGAGGGTGGTGTTGGTAAGTCGAGTGTAGGGGCCCATGCGTTACCTGCATGGTGTTGATGCTCAGAGTGGCTTCGCTCACGCAGCAGTCCCCAAGGTCTCTGTGTGGGTGGGGGGGTGGAGATGATGTAGAGAGTCACAACACGAACTCACATCCTCACCACTGTCCCACATTCCCCCCACCAGGAACCCACCATTCTCACAACGAACCCCCATCCTCACCAGGAACTCCCAATACAGACTCACATCCTCACCACGAACTCACATGGACTCACATCCTCACCACGGACCCAACCTCACCACGAACCCACAACACGAACCCACACACCACGAACCCACAACACTCACCACGAACCCACAACACTCACCACGAACCCACAACACGGACCCACACACTCACCACGATCCCACAACACTCACCACGAACCCACAACACGGATCCACACACTCACCACGAACCCACAACACGGACCCACACACTCACCACGATCCCACAACACTCACCACGAACCCACAACACGGACCCACAACACTCACCACGAACCCACAACACTCACCACGAACCCACAACACGGAGCCACACACTCACCACGAACCCACAACACGGACCCACAACACTCACTACGAACCCACAACACGGACCCACACACTCACCACGAACCCACAACACTCACCACGAACCCACAACACGGACCCACAACACTCACCACGAACCCACAACACTCACCACGAACCCACAACACGGACCCACACACACACCACGAACCCACAACACGGACCCACACACTCACCACGAACCCACAACACTCACCACGAACCACAACACGGACCCACAACACTCACCACGAACCCACACACTCAGCACGAACCCACAACACTCACCACGAACCCACAACACGGACCCACACACTCACCACGAACCCAAAACACTCACCACGAACCCACAACAGGGACCCACACACTCACCACGAACCCACAACACTCACCACGAACCCACAACACGGACCCACACACTCACCACAGACCCACAACACTCACCACGGACCCACAACACTCACACGAACGAACAACACGGACCCACAACACTCACCACGAACCCACAACACGGACCTACACACTCACCAAGAACCCACAACACGGACCCACAACACTCACCACGAACCCACAACACGGACCCACACACTCACCACGGACCCACAACACTCACCACGGACCCACAACACTCACCACGAACCCACAACACTCACCACGAACCCACAACACGGACCCACACACTCACCACGGACCCACAACACTCACCACGAACCCACAACACTCACCACGAACCCACAACACGAACCCACAACACTCACCACGGACCCACAACACGGACCCACAACACTCACCACGAACCAACAACACTCACCACGCACCCACAACACTCACCACGAACCCACAACACGGACCCACAACACTCACCACGAACCCACAACACGGACCCACACACTCACCACGGACCCACAACACTCACCACGGACCCACAACACTCACCACGAACCCACAACACGGACCCACAACACTCACCACGAACCCACAACACGGACCCACACACTCACCACGGACCCACAACACTCACCACGAACCCACAACACTCACCACGAACCCACAACACGAACCCACAACACTCACCACGGACCCACAACACGGACCCACAACACTCACCACGAACCAACAACACTCACCACGCACCCACAACACTCACCACGAACCCACAACACGGACCCACAACACTCACCACGAACCCACAACACTCACCACGAACCCACAACACGGACCCACACACACACCACGAACCCACAACACGGACCCACACACTCACCACGAACCCACAACACTCACCACGAACCCACAACACGGACCCACAACACTCACCACGAACCCACACACTCAGCACGAACCCACAACACTCACCACGAACCCACAACACTGACCCACACACTCACCACGAACCCACAACACTCACCACGCACCCACAACACTCACCACGAACCCACAACACGGACCCACACACTCACCACGAACCCACAACACTCACCACGAACCCACAACAGGGACCCACACACTCACCACGAACCCACAACACTCACCACGAACCCACAACACGGACCCACACACTCACCACAGACCCACAACACTCACAACGGACCCACAACACTCACACGAACCAACAACACGGACCCACAACACTCACCACGAACCCACAACACGGACCTACACACTCACCAAGAACCCACAACACGGACCCACAACACTCACCACGAACCCACAACACGGACCCACACACTCACCACGGACCCACAACACTCACCACGAACCCACAACACTCACCACGAACCCACAACACGAACCCACAACACGAACCCACAACACGAACCTACAACACTCACCACGGACCCACAACACGGACCCACAACACTCACCACGAACCAACAACACTCACCACGCACCCACAACACTCACCACGAACCCACAACACTCACCACGAACCCACAACACGAACCCACAACACTCACCACGGACCCACAACACGGACCCACACACTCACCACGAACCCACAACACTCACCACGAACCCACAACACTCACCACGAACCCACAACACGGACCCACACGCTCACCACGAACCCACAACACTCACCACGAACCCACAACAGGGACCCACACACTAACCACGAACCCACAACACTCACCACGAACCCACAGCACGGACCCAGACACTCACCACGAACCCACAACACTCACCACGAACCCACAATACTCACCACGAACCCACAACACGGACCTACACACTCACCAAGAACCCACAACACGGACCCACACACTCACCACGAACCCACAACACTCACCACGAACCCACAACACGGACCTACACACTCACCAAGAACCCACAACACGGATCCACACACTCACCACGAACCCACAACACTCACTACGAACCCACAACACGGACCCACAACACTCACCACGAACCCACAACACGGACCCACACGCTCACCACTAAACCCACAAAACTCACCTCGTCAAAAGTTTCTCTAGGATGGCTTCAACAGAAGTTGTTTGAAAAACGACGATGATGAAGCTGAGTCAGCTGACGTTTAAGAACCTGCCGACTCCTTCACGCCAGTCTCGTACCGAGGGAGCGCGTGATGATTGCAGCGTCACCGGTGATGTCAGAGTCCGAGTGACGTGACCACGCCCCCTTCAGCCACACCCCTCCGAGTGACGTGGCAATGCGAGACCACGCCCCCGGAAGCCGCCTTCCGCCCCGAGTCTATGGGCGCCCCCCCCCACCTCCACCCCCAACTTCTACTTCCGCTTCCGGTCGTGGCGAATTGCGGCGATGGCGGGAAAAATCTGAACCCTGACTGGGCCTCCTCGTGGTCGACTCAGCCTGAAGATGCCGACACGGGGCTCTGTGTGAGGTGAGTCTGTGGGTCTCTGTGTGTGCCTGTGTGTGGTGAGTTTGTGTGGTGAGTCTGTGTGAGGTGAGTCTGTGGGTCTCTGTGTGGTGAGTCTGTGGGTCTCTGTGTGGTGAGTCTGTGTGGTGAGTCTGTGGGTCTCTGTGGTGAGTCTGTGGGTCTCTGTGTGGTGAGTTTGTGGTTCTCTGTGTGATGAGTCTGTGGGTCTCTGTGTGAGGTGAGTCTGTGGGTGTCTGTGTGAGGTGAGTTTGTGGGTGGCTGTGTGGTGAGTTTGTGGGTATCTGTGAGGTGAGTCTGTGCGTCTTTGTGTGAGGTGAGTGTAGGTGTCTGTGTGTGGTGAGTCTGTGGGTCTCTGTGTGTGTCTGTGTGAGGTGAGTGTGTGTGTCTGTGTGAGGTGAGGGTGTGTGTCTCTGTGAGGTGAGTCTGTGGGTCTCTGTGTCGTTAGTCTGTGTGAGGTGAGTCTGTGGGTGTCTGTGTGAGGTGAGGGTGTGTGTCTGTGTGAGGTGAGTCTGGGTCTCTGTGTGAGGTGAGTTTGTGGGTCTCTCTGTGTGGTGAGTTTGTGGGTCTCTCTGTGTGGTGAGTCTGTGGGTCTCTGTGTGAGGTGAGTCTGTGGGTGTCTGTGTGAGCTGAGTCTGTTGGTGTCTGTGTGAGGTGAGTTTGTGGGTCTCTGTGTGTGGTGAGTCTGTGGGTCTCTGTGTGTGTCTGTGTGAGGTGAGTTTGTGGGTGTCTGTGAGGTGAGTCTGTGGGTTTCTGTGTGAGGTGAGTCTGTGGGTCTATGTGTGTCTCTGTGTGAGGTGAGTCTGTGGGTGTCTGTGTGAGGGGAGTGTGGGTGTCTGTGTGAGGTGAGTCTGTGGGTCTCTGTGTGGTGAGTCTGTGTGAGGTGAGTCTGTGGGTGTCTGTGTGAGGTGAGTGTGGATGTCTGTGTAAGGTAAGTTTGTGGGTATCTGTGAGGTGAGTTTGTGGGTCTCTGTGTGTGTCTGTGTGAGGTGAGTCTGTTGTTCTCTATGTGGTAAGTCTGTGGGTCTGTGTGCGTGTGAGGTGAGTTTGTGGGTATCTGTGAGGTGAGTCTGTCGGTTTCTGTGTGAGGTGAGTTTGTGGGTTTCTGTGTAAGGTGAGTCTGTGGGTCTCTGTGTGAGGTGAATCTGTGGGTCTCTGTGTGGTGAGTCTGTGTGAGGGTGAGTCTGTGGGTGTCTGTGTGAGGTGAGTGTGGGTGTCTGTGTAAGGTGAGTTTGTGGGTATCTGTGAGGTGAGTTTGTGGGTCTCTGTGTGTGTCTATGTGAGGTAAGTCTGTTGTTCTCTATGTGGTAAGTCTGTGGGTCTGTGTGCGTGTGAGGTGAGTTTGTCGGTTTCTGTGTGAGATGAGTTTGTAGGTTTCCGTGTAAGGTGAGTCTGTGGGTGTCTGTGTGAGGTGAGTTTGTTGGTGTCTGTGTGAGGGGAGTCTGTGGGTCTCTGTGTGGTGAGTTTGTGGGTCTCTGTGTGAGGCGAGTCTGTGGGTCTCTGTGTGAGGTGAGTCTGTGGGTCTCTGTGTGGTGAGTCTGTGTGAGGTGAGTCTGTGGGTGTCTGTGTGAGGTGAGTGTGGGTGTCTGTGTAAGGTGAGTTTGTGGGTATCTGTGAGGTGAGTTTGTGGGTCTCTGTGTGTGTCTGTGTGAGGTGAGTCTGTTGTTATCTATGTGGTAAGTCTGTAGGTCTGTGTGCGTGTGAGGTGAGTTTGTCGGTTTCTGTGTGAGGTGAGTTTGTGGGTTTCCGTGTAAGGTGAGTCTGTGGGTGTCTGTGTGAGGTGAGTTTGTGGGTGTCTGTGTGAGGGGAGTCTGTGGGTCTCTGTGTGGTGAGTTTGTGGGTCTCTGTGTGAGGCGAGTCTGTGGGTCTCTGTGTGTGTCTGTGTGAGGTGAGTCTGTGGGTCTCTGTGTGTGTCTGTGTGTGGTGAGTCTGTGTGTCTCTGTGTGAGGTGAGTCTGTGGGTGTCTGTGTGGTTTGAGTGTGGGTGTCTGTGTGAGGTGAGTCTGTGGGTCTCTGTGTGTGTCTGTGTGTGGTGAGTCTGTGTGTCTCTGTGTGAGGTGAGTCTGTGGGTGTCTGTGAGGTGAGTGTGGGTGTCTGTGTGTGGTGAGTCTGTGGGTGTCTGTATGAGTTGAGTTTGGGTAAATGTGTGAGGTGTGTTTGTGGGTCTCTGTGTGGTGTGTTTGTGGGTCTCTGTGTGATGAGTGTGTGGGTCTCTGTGTGTGTCTGTGTTTGATGAGTCTGTGGGTGTCTGTGTGAGGTGAGTTTGTGGGTTTCTGTGTAAGGTGAGTCTGTGGGTCTCTGTGTGAGGTGAGTCTGTGGGTGTCTGTGTGAGGTGAGTTTGTGGGTCTCTGTGTGGTGAGTCTGTGTGAGGTGAGTCTGTGGGTGTCTGTGTGAGGGGAGTCTGTGCGTCTCTGTGTGAGGTGAGTGTGGGTGGCTGTGTGAGGTGAGTCTGTGGGTCTCTGTGTGGTGAGTCTGTGTGAGGTGAGTCTGTGGGTGTCTGTGTGAGGTGAGTGTGGGTGTGTGTGTAAGGTGAGTTTGTGGGTATCTGTGAGGTGAGTTTGTGGGTCTCTGTGTGTGTCTGTGTGAGGTGAGTCTGTTGTTCTCTATGTGGTAAGTATGTGGGTCTGTGTGCATGTGAGGTGAGTCTGTGGGTGTCTGTGTGAGATGAGTTTGTGGGTGTCTGTGTGAGGTGAGTTTGTGGGTTTCTGTGTAAGGTGAGTCTGTGGGTCTCTGTGTGAGGTGAATCTGTGGGTCTCTGTGTGGTGAGTCTGTGTGAGGGTGAGTCTGTGGGTGTCTGTGTGAGGTGAGTGTGGGTGTCTGTGTAAGGTGAGTCTGTGTGAGGTGAGTCTGTGGGTGTCTGTGTGAGGGGAGTCTGTGCGTCTCTGTGTGAGGTGAGTGTGGGTGTCTGTGTGAGGGGAGTCTGTGGGTCTCTGTGTGGTGAGTTTGTGGGTCTCTGTGTGTGTGTCTGTGTGAGGTGAGTCTGTGGGTCTCTGTGTGGTGAGTTTGTGGGTCTCTGTGTGAGGCGAGTCTGTGGATCTCTGTGTGTGTCTGTGTGAGGTGAGTCTGTGGGTCTCTGTGTGTGTCTGTGTATGATGAGTCTGTGGGTGTCTGTGTGAGGTGAGTCTGTGGGTCTCTGTGTGAGGTGAGTATGTGGTTCTCTGTGTGAGGTGGGTCTGTGGGTCTCTGTGTTTGTGTGTGTGTGGTGAGTCTGTGGGTCTCTGTTTGTGGTGAGTCTGTGGGTCTCTGCGTGGTGAGTTTGTGTGTATGTGTGTGGCGAGTGTGTGGGTCTCTGGGTGATGAGTCTGTGGGTGTGTGTGTGAGGTGATTGTGGATCTCTGTGTGAGGTGAGTTTGTGGGTCTCTTTGGCTTCAGCAGAAGTTGTTTGAAAGGCGACGATGATGAAGCTGAAGCAGCTGAAGTTTGAGAAGCTGCCGTCTCCTTCACGTCTCGTACTCTGAGGAAGCACGTGGTGATTGCGACGTCACCGGTGATGTCACAGTGCGAGGGACGTGACCACGCCCCCTTCAGCCACGCCCCTCCGAGTGACGTGACAGTGCGAGACCACACCCCTGGAAGCCGCCTCCCGCCCCTCCTTATTGGGCGTCCCCCCCACCTCCACCCCCAGCTTCGACTTCCGCTTCCGGTCGAGGCGAATGGCGGCGATGGCGGGAAAATTCTGAACCCTGTCTGGGGCTCCTCGAGGTCGACTCAGCCTGAAGATGCCGATACGGGGCTCTGTGTGAGGTGAGTTTGTGGGTGTCTGTGTGAGGTGATTCTGTGGGTCTCTGTGTGTGTCTGTGTGAGATGAGTCTGTGTGTGTCTGTGTGAGGTGAGTCTGTGGGTCTCTGTGTGTGTCTGTGTGAAGTGAGTCTGTGGGTGTCTGTGTGTGGTGAGTCTGGGTCTCTGTGTGTGTCTGTGTGAGGTGAGTCTGTGCGTGTCTGTGAGGTGAGTCTGTGGGTTTCTGCGTGAGTTGAGTCTGTGGGTGTCTGTGTGAGGTGAGTTTGTGGGTGTCTGTGTGAAGGGAGTCTGTGCGTCTCTGTGTGAGGTGAGTGTGGGTGTCTGTGTGAGGTGAGTCTGTGGGTTTCTGTGTGGTAAGTCTGTGTGAGGTGAGTCTGTGGGTGTCTGTGTGAGGTGAGTGTTGGTGTCAGTGTAAGGTGAGTTTGTGGGTATCTATGAGGTGAGTTTGTGGGTCTCTGTGAGGTGAGTCTGTCGGTTTCTGTGTGAGGTGAGTTTGTGGGTTTCTGTGTAAGGTGATTCTGTGGGTCTCTGTGTGAGGTGAGTCTGTGGGTGTCTGTGTGAGGTGAGTTTGTTGGTGTCTGTGTGAGGGGAGTCTGTGGGTCTCTGTGTGGTGAGTTTGTGTGTCTGTGTGAGGTGAGTTTGTGGGTATCTGTGAGGTGAGTCTGTGCGTCTCTGTGTGAGGTGAGTGTGGGTGTCTGTGTGAGGTGAGTTTGTGGGTTTCTGTGTAAGGTGAATCTGTGTATCTCTGTGTGAGGTGAATCTGTGTGTGTCTGTGTGAGGTGAGTCTGTGGTTCTCTATGTGGTGAGTCTGTGGGTCTCTGTGTCAGGTGAGTCTGTGGGTCTCTGTGTGGTGAGTCTGTGTGAGGTGAGTCTGTGGGTGTCTGTGTGAGGTGAGTGTGTGTGTCTGTGTGAGGTGAGTTTGTGGGTTTCTGTGTAAGGTGAATCTGTGTATCTCTGTGTGAGGTGAGTCTGTGTGTGTCTGTGTGAGGTGAGTCTGTGGTTCTCTATGTGGTGAGTCTGTGGGTCTCTGTGTAAGGTGAGTCTGTGGGTCTCTGTGTGGTGAGTCTGTGTGAGGTGAGTCTGTGGGTGTCTGTGTGAGGTGAGTGTGTGGGTGTCTGTGTGAGGTGAGTGTGTGTGTGTCTGTGTGAGGTGAGTGTGTGTGTCTGTGTGAGGTGAATTTGTGGGTCTCTGTGTGTGGTGAGTCTGTTGGTCTCTGTGTGTGTCTTGTGTGAGGTGAGTCTGTGGGTGTCTGTGAGGTGAGTCTGTGGGTCTCTGTGAGGTGAGTCTGTGTGAGGTGAGTCTGTGGGTGTCTGTGTGAGGGGAGTCTGTGCGTCTCTGTGTGAGGTGAGTGTGGGTGTCTGCGTGAGGTGAGTTTGTGAGTCTCTGTGTGTGTCTGTGTGAGGTGAGTCTGTGGGTCTCTGTGTGGTGAGTCTGTGTGAGGTGAGCCTGTGGGTGTCTGTGTGAGGTGAGTGTGGGTGTGTGTGTAAGGTGAGTTTGTGGGTATCTGTGAGGTGAGTTTGTGGGTCTCTGTGTGTGTCTGTGTGAGGTGAGTCTGTTGTTCTCTATGTGGTAAGTATATGGGTCTGTGTGCATGTGAGGTGAGTCTGTGGGTGTCTGTGTGAGATGAGTTTGTGGGTGTCTGTGTGAGGTGAGTTTGTGGGTTTCTGTGTAAGGTGAGTCTGTGGGTCTCTGTGTGAGGTGAATCTGTGGGACTCTGTGTGGTGAGTCTGTGTGAGGGTGAGTCTGTGGGTGTCTGTGTGAGGTGAGTGTGGGTGTCTGTGTAAGGTGAGTCTGTGTGAGGTGAGTCTGTGGGTGTCTGTGTGAGGGGAGTCTGTGCGTCTCTGTGTGAGGTGAGTGTGGGTGTCTGTGTGAGGGGAGTCTGTGGGTGTCTGTGTGAGGGGAGTCTGTGCGTCTCTGTGTGAGGTGAGTGTGGGTGTCTGTGTGAGGGGAGTCTGTGGGTCTCTGTGTGGTGAGTTTGTGGGTCTCTGTGTGTGTCTGTGTGAGGTGAGTCTGTGGGTTTCTGTGTGGTGAGCTTGTGGGTCTCTGTGTGAGGCGAGTCTGTGGATCTCTGTGTGTGTCTGTGTGAGGTGAGTCTGTGGGTCTCTGTGTGTGTCTGTGTATGATGAGTCTGTGGGTGTCTGTGTGAGGTGAGTCTGTGGGTCTCTGTGTGAGGTGAGTATGTGGTTCTCTGTGTGAGGTGGGTCTGTGGGTCTCTGTGTTTGTGTGTGTGTGGTGAGTCTGTGGGTCTCTGTTTGTGGTGAGTCTGTGGGTCTCTGCGTGGTGAGTTTGTGTGTATGTGTGTGGCGAGTGTGTGGGTCTCTGTGTGATGAGTCTGTGGGTGTGTGTGTGAGGTGATTGTGGATCTCTGTGTGAGGTGAGTTTGTGGGTCTCTTTGGCTTCAGCAGAAGTTGTTTGAAAGGCGACGATGATGAAGCTGAAGCAGCTGAAGTTTGAGAAGCTGCCGTCTCCTTCACGTCTCGTACTCTGAGGAAGCACGTGGTGATTGCGACGTCACCGGTGATGTCACAGTGCGAGGGACGTGACCACGCCCCCTTCAGCCACGCCCCTCCGAGTGACGTGACAGTGCGAGACCACACCCCCGGAAGCCGCCTCCCGCCCCTCCTTTTTGGGCGTCCCCCCCACCTCCACCCCCAGCTTCGACTTCCGCTTCCGGTCGAGGCGAATGGCGGCGATGGCGGGAAAATTCTGAACCCTGTCTGGGGCTCCTCGAGGTCGACTCAGCCTGAAGATGCCGATACGGGGCTCTGTGTGAGGTGAGTTTGTGGGTGTCTGTGTGAGGTGATTCTGTGGGTCTCTGTGTGTGTCTGTGTGAGAAGAGTCTGTGTGTGTCTGTGTGACGTGAGTCTGTGGGTCTCTGTGTGTGTCTGTGTGAAGTGAGTCTGTGGGTGTCTGTGTGTGGTGAGTCTGGGTCTCTGTGTGTGTCTGTGTGAGGTGAGTCTGTGCGTGTCTGTGTGAAGGGAGTCTATGCGTCTCTGTGTGAGGTGAGTGTGGGTGTCTGTGTGAGGTGAGTCTGTGGGTTTCTGTGTGGTAAGTCTGTGTGAGGTGAGTCTGTGGGTGTCTGTGTGAGGTGAGTGTTGGTGTCAGTGTAAGGTGAGTTTGTGGGTATCTGTGAGGTGAGTTTGTGGGTCTCTGTGAGGTGAGTCTGTCGGTTTCTGTGTGAGGTGAGTTTGTGGGTTTCTGTGTAAGGTGATTCTGTGGGTCTCTGTGTGAGGTGAGTCTGTGGGTGTCTGTGTGAGGTGAGTTTGTGGGTTTCTGTGTAAGGTGAATCTGTGTATCTCTGTGTGAGGTGAGTCTGTGTGTGTCTGTGTGAGGTGAGTCTGTGGTTCTCTATGTGGTGAGTCTGTGGGTCTCTGTGTGGTGAGTCTGTGTGAGGTGAGTCTGTGGGTGTCTGTGTGAGGTGAGTGTGTGTGTCTGTGTGAGGTGAGTTTGTGGGTTTCTGTGTAAGGTGAATCTGTGTATCTCTGTGTGAGGTGAGTCTGTGTGTGTCTGTGTGAGGTGAGTCTGTGGTTCTCTATGTGGTGAGTCTGTGGGTCTCTGTGTAAGGTGAGTCTGTGGGTCTCTGTGTGGTGAGTCTGTGTGAGGTGAGTCTGTGGGTGTCTGTGTGTGGTGAGTCTGGGTCTCTGTGTGTGTCTGTGTGAGGTGAGTCTGTGCGTGTCTGTGTGAAGGGAGTCTGTGCGTCTCTGTGTGAGGTGAGTGTGGGTGTCTGTGTGAGGTGAGTCTGTGGGTTTCTGTGTGGTAAGTCTGTGTGAGGTGAGTCTGTGGGTGTCTGTGTGAGGTGAGTGTTGGTGTCAGTGTAAGGTGAGTTTGTGGGTATCTGTGAGGTGAGTTTGTGGGTCTCTGTGAGGTGAGTCTGTCGGTTTCTGTGTGAGGTGAGTTTGTGGGTTTCTGTGTAAGGTGATTCTGTGGGTCTCTGTGTGAGGTGAGTCTGTGGGTGTCTGTGTGAGGTGAGTTTGTGGGTTTCTGTGTAAGGTGAATCTGTGTATCTCTGTGTGAGGTGAGTCTGTGTGTGTCTGTGTGAGGTGAGTCTGTGGTTCTCTATGTGGTGAGTCTGTGGGTCTCTGTGTCAGGTGAGTCTGTGGGTCTCTGTGTGGTGAGTCTGTGTGAGGTGAGTCTGTGGGTGTCTGTGTGAGGTGAGTGTGTGTGTCTGTGTGAGGTGAGTTTGTGGGTTTCTGTTTAAGGTGAATCTGTGTATCTCTGTGTGAGGTGAGTCTGTGGGTCTCTGTGTAAGGTGAGTCTGTGGGTCTCTGTGTGGTGAGTCTGTGTGAGGTGAGTCTGTGGGTGTCTGTGTGAGGTGAGTGTGTGTGTGTCTGTGTGAGGTGAATTTGTGGGTCTCTGTGTGTGGTGAGTCTGTTGGTCTCTGTGTGTGTCTTGTGTGAGGTGAGTCTGTGGGTGTCTGTGAGGTGAGTCTGTGGGTCTCTGTGAGGTGAGTCTGTGGGTCTCTTTGTGAGGTGAGTTTGTGGGTATCTGTGAGGTGAGTCTGTGCATCTCTGTGTGAGGTGAGTGTGGGTGTTTTGTGTGAGGTGAGTCTGTCGTTCTCTATGTGGTGAGTCTGTGTGTGATGAGTCTGTGCGTCTCTGTGTGTGGTGAGTCTGTGGGTCTCTGTGTGATTTGAGTGTGGGTGTCTGTGTGTGGTGAGTCTGTGGGTCTCTGTGTGAGGTGAGTCTGTGGGTCTCTGTGTTTGTCTGTGTGAAGTGAGTATGTGGTTCTCTGTGTGATGAGTGTGTGGGTCTCTGTGTGTGTGTCTTGTGTATGATGAGTCTGTGGGTGTCTGTGTGAGGTGAGTCTGTGGGTCTCTGTGTGGTGAGTCTGTGGGTCCCTATGTGGTGAGTCTGTGGGTCTGTGTGTGTGAGGTGAGTCTGTGGGTCTCTGTGTGAGGTGAGTGTGGGTGTCTGTGTGAGGTGAGTCTGTGGTTTCGCTATGTGGTGAGTCTGTGGGTCTCTGTGTGGTGAGTTTGTGGGTCTCTGTGTGGTGAGTCTGTATGTGTCTGTGTGTGGTTAGTCTGTGGGTCTCTGTGTGAGGTGAGTTTGTGGGTCTCTGTGTTTGTCTGTGTGAGGTGAGTCTGTGGGTATCTGTGTGTGGTGAGTCTGTGGGTCTTTATGTGTGTCTGTGTGTGGTGAGTCTGTGGGTGTCTGCGAGTTGAGTGTTGGTAAATGTGTGAAGTGTGTTTGTGGGTCTCTGTGTGGTGAGTCTGTGGGTCTCAGTGTGATGAGTCTGGGTCTCTGTGTGAGGTGGGTCTCTGTATTTATCTCTGTGAGGTGGGTCTGTTGGTCTCTGTGTGTGTCTGTGTGTGGTGAGTCTGTGCGTCTCTGTGTGAGGTGAGTCTTTGTGTGTGTCTGTGTGTGGTGAGTCTGTGGGTCTCTGTGTTTGTCTGTGTGAGGTGAGTCTGTGGGTCGCTGTGTTTCTGTGTGTGTTGAGTCCGCGCGTCTCTGTGTGTGGTGAGTCTGTGGGTGTCTGTGTGATTTGAGTGTGGGTGTCTGTGTGTGGTGAGTCTGTGGGTCTCTGTGTTTGTCTGTGAGTTGAGTATGTGGTTCTCTGTGTGATGAGTCTGTGGATGTCTGTGTGAGTTGAGTTTGGGTAAATCTGTGAGGCAAATTTGTGGGTCTCTGTGTGGTGAGTCTGTGGGTCTCTGTGTGAGGTGAGCCTGTGGGTCTCTGTGTGATGAGTTTGTGGGTCTCTGTGTGATGAGTGTGTGGGTCTCTGTGTGTGTCTGTGTATGATGAGTCTGTGGATGTCTGTGTGAGGTGAGTCTGCGGTTCTCTGTGTGAAGTGGGTCTGTGGGTCTCTGTGTTTGTCTGTGTGAGGTGAGTCTGTGGGTCTCTGTGTGGTGAGTCTGTGGGTCTCTGTGTGAGGTTAGTCAGTGGGTCTCTGTTTGAGTTGAGTTTGTGGGTCTCTGTGTGTGTCTGTGTGAGGTGAGTTTGTGGGTCTCTTTGTGTGTCTGTGTGAGGTGAGTCTGTGGGTCTCTGTGTGAGGTGAGTCTGTGGGTCTCTGTGTTTGTCTGTGTGTGGTGAGTCTCTGGGTGTCTGTGTGAGGTAAGTGTGGGTGTCTGTGTGTGGTGAGTCTGTGGGTCTCTGTGTGAGGTGAGTCTGTGGGTCTCTGTGTGTGTCTGTGTGAGGTGAGTCTGTGGGTCTCTGTGTGTGTCTGTGTGAGGTGAGTCTGTGGGTGTCTGTGAGGTGAGTCTGTGGGTGTCTGTTTGTGGTGAGTCTGTGGGTCTCTGTGTGTGGTGAGTCTGTGTGTTTCTCTGTGAGGTGAATCTGTGGGTCTCTGTGTGAGGTGAGTCTGTGGATCTCTGTGTGTGTCTTTGTGTGGTGATTCTGTGTGTCTCTGTGCGAGGTGAGTCACTGGATGTCTGTGTCAAGTGAGTGTGGGTGTCTGTGTGTGGTGAGTCTGTGGGTGTCTGTGTGAGTTGAGTTTGGGTAAATGTGTGAGGTGTGTTTGTGGGTCTCCGTGTGGTGAGTCTGTGAGTCTCTGTGTAAGGTGAGTCTGTGGGTCTCTGTGTGAGTTGAGTCTGTGGGTCTCTGTGTGAGGTGAGTCTGTGGGTCTCTGTGTGAGGTGTGTATGTGGTTCTCTGTTTGAGGTGGGTCTGTTGGTCTCTGTGTGTGCTGAGTCTGTGGGTCTCTGTGTGATGAGTCTGTGGGTCTCTGTGTGTGTATGTGTGTGGTGAGTCTGTGGGTGTCTGTTTGAGTTGAGTTTGGGTAAATGTGTGAGGTGTGTTTGTGGGTCTCTGTGTGGTGAGTCTGTGAGTCTCTGTGTAAGGTGAGTCTGTGGGTCTCTGTGTGAGGTGAGTCTGTTGGTCTCTGTTTGTCTGTGTGAGGTGAGTCGGTGGGTCTCTGTGTGGTGAGTCTGTGCGTCTCTGTGTGAGGTGAGTCTGTGGGTGTCTGTGAGTTGAGTTTGGGTAAATGTGTGAGGTGTGTTTGTGGGTCTCTGTGTGGTGAGTCTGTGGGTTTCTGTGTGATGAGTCTGTGGGTCTCTGTGTGATGAGTTTGTGGGTCTCTGTGTGTGTCTGTGTATGATGAGTCTGTGGGTGTCTGTTTGAGGTGAGTGTGGGTCTCTGTGTGACGTGGGTCTGTTGGCCTCTGTGTTTGTTTGTGTGAGGTGAGTCTGTGGGTCTCTGTGTGTGTCTGTGTGTGGTGAGTCTGTGGGTTTCTGTGTGTGTATGTGTGTGGTGAGTCTGTGGGTCTCTGTGTGTGTTTGTGTGTGGTGAGTCTGTGGCTGTCTGTGTGAGGCGAGTCTGTGGGTCTCTGTGTGTGTCTGTGTGTGGTGAGTCTGTGCATCTCTGTGTGAGGTGAGTCTGTGGGTGTCTGTGTGAGTTCAGTTTGGGTAAATGTGAGGTGTGTTTGTGGGTCTCTGTGTGGTGAGTCTGTGGGTCTCTGTGTGAGGTGAGTCTGTTGGCCTCGGTGTTTGTTTGGGTGAGGTGAGTCTGTGGGTCTCTGTGTGTGTATGTGTGTGTTGAGTCTGTGGGTGTCTGTGTGAGTTGAGTTTGGGTAAATGTGTGAGGTGTGTTTGTGGGTCTCTGTGTGAGGTGAGTTTGTGGGTCTCTGTGTGGTGAGTCTGTGGGTCTCTGTGTGTGTCTCTCTGTGTCTCTGACTCTCTGTGTGTCTCTATGGGTCTCTGTCTATCTCTATGGGTCTCTGCGTGTGGGTCTCACGATCATCATCATCCAAAATATGATCTTAGTCTTTCACGAAGCTATGTGTGTCGGTGTTGTTGTGTGTGTCACAGTAGGGGGCACAGGTAGTGCATCGGCCAGTCAGTCGACCCGTGGCACCTGCTGGGTCTGCCCCGTGACCTCCTCCTCATGCACCTAGCCTGGCACAGCAGTCAACCCACGGCACCTGCTGGGTCTGCCTCGTGACCTCCAAGTGTACCTAGCCTGGCACAGCAGTGAACCATGGCATCTGCTGGGTCTGTTCCGTGACCTCCTCCTCCTGCACCTAGCCTGGCACAGCAATCAACCCACGGCACCTGTTGGGTATGTCCCATGGCTATCGCACACGCACACACACACGCATGGATATCACACACACACGCATGGATATCACACACACACGCGCGCCGGTGGTGTTGGCTACGTTGTTTATTGAGTTTCGCTACAGACACGGACAGAGAGACACCAACGCGATCATAGCGACAGACACAGCAGCAGCAGCCTGCAATCATCTCAGGCACCATCATCAGCATTACCACCACCATCATTACCGCCACACGGCAGTAGCAGCAGATGGCTCATGCACAGGGGCAGCTGCCACTGGGGGTGCCCCGAGGCTATAGGACCCACACAGCAGCAGCAGACTCGCACACAGGGACAGCTGTCACTGGGGGTGCCCCCTAGGCTACGGCACCACACAGCAGCAGCACTCCCACACACGGACAGCTGTCACTGGGGGTACCTTTAGGCTATAGGATCCACACAGCAGCCTTGCACACAGGGACAGCTGCTACTTGGAGTGCCCCTAGGCTATAGGCACCACACAGCAGCAGACTCACACACAGGGACAGCTGTCACTGGGGGTGCCCCCTAGGCTACGGCACCACACAGCAGCAGCAGACTCACACACAGGGACAGCTGTCACTGGGGGTGCCCCCTAGGCTACAGCATCACACAGCAGCAGCAGACTCACACACAGGGACAGCTGCTGCTGGGGGTGCCCCCTAGGCTATAGGACCCACACAGCATCAGCAGCAGACTCACAGGGACAGCTGCCACTGGGCGTGCCACAAGACCACACAGCAGCTGACTCACAACACAGGGGCAGCTGCCGCTGGGGGTGCCCCCTATGCTACAGGACCACACAGCAGCAGCAGCAGACTCACACACAGGGACAGCTGCCCCCTCCCCGTGTGGCAGAGGAGGGGAACGCTGGAAAATTAAAGTGCAGTCCTCTCTAGTCACGTACACGCGCACGCACACACACACACCTGAGTTAAATTCCCGCTCGCCAGTATGGGTGGGAATCCAACGCAGGTCAGTGCCAGGTTCGTAGTAGTACAGGCACAGCGTAAACCACTACAGCACTCATGGAGACAGACACACACACAGAGATACACAGACACACACAACAACCGCCATTCGCCACTGGAGTGGAAAATATGGCATCTGTGCAGGACCGCCCTTTCCTGAAACCGCATTGGGGCTCTGCAAGCCTCTCCTCAGCGTGCCTGGCAAGGCGATGTTGAATAATCCTTGCCAGGACCTTTCCCGGCACACTGAGGAGTGAGATGCCCCTGTACTTCTTACAGTCTGTGCGGTCCCCCTTCTTAAAGAGGGGGACCACCAGGGCATCATTCCAATCCTGCGGAACCCGTCCAGTGGTCCAGACTGTTGTTATGATGTCATATAGGGCAGTCTGTGCACAAACGCCACCCTCCCTCAGCATTTTGCTTGGGAGATCATCTCTGCCGGCTGCCTTTCCTGGTCTCAGACTCCGGATCGCCTTCAGTACTTCCTCAACAGATGGCACCTCAGCCAGCCACTCACAGGGGGGGACTTCTTCCAATATTTGAGGCACCGCAGCCTCAGCAGGGTCATCCTCACTTTGTGCCACGATGTTTTCCTGGCTGAGGGATTTTCCCTCTCCCAGGACCTCACAGAAATGCTCAGCAAATCTGCAAACCTGTTTCTGGGGGTCAGAGATTGGTTCACCGTTTTTTCCCCTAATGATGGTAATAGGTGTGGCGCTGCAGGTTACTTTTTGGATGGAGTTAAATAGAGATTTGTGATCACGGGCCACTGAGGCAGACTCCATCTCCTCAGCAACCCGCGACCACCACCCATCCTTGCAGCGCCTCACGGCTCTCCGAACCTCCGAGCGAAGGCTGCGGTAAGCCTCCTCATTCTCTGACTTTGGATACTGTAGACAATTAGAATGGGCCTGTCGCTTTGTCTCAACTATCCTGAACACCTACTCTGTCAGCCAGGGTCTCTGGGGAGGTCTGGACCGCACTCAAAGCAGCCATTGCAGCTGCATGAGTCACAGTCCTAAACCTCGTCCATTTACCCTCGACATCTGGAGGAGTGGGGGACGATGCCAAGCCCAGCCGCAAGCGATGACGAAATTCTCGATTGCAACTTTCATCAGATAACTGAGACCAGGCCACTTTAGGTTGGAATGGGGTCCTGGGTGTACACCCACCACCGGAGTGGAAGAATGGCAGGAGCATCTTACAGATGACTAGTCGATGGTCAGAGGGCAGATCAGCTCCACGGTAGGTCCTGGTGTCAAGGACATGGGCTCGCATCTGCTGGTCCGTCACTATGTAGTCCAGCAGATGTTTTTGCTTGGACCCGGCATGCATCCATGATGTGTGGATGCGCCGATGCCGAAACAGCGTGTTGGTAATTACAAGCCCATGGGCTGCACAAAAATCTACCAGCCTCCTACCGAGACACACACACAGAGATACACAGACTCACTCCCCACAGAGACACACAGACACGCAGAAACACAGACACATACACACAAAACTCGCTCCCCACAGAGACACAGACACATAGACACACACAAAACTCGCTTCCCACAGACACACACAGACTTGCTCCCCACAGAGAGAGACAGACACACACAGAGACACACAAGATTCGCTCCCCATAGAGACACAGAGACTCGCTCCCCACAGACACAGACTCGCTCCCCACAGAGACACACGGAGACTTGCTCCGCACAGACACACGGAGACTTGCTTCCCACAGAGAGACACACACACAGACACACACACACAGACACACACACAGTCACACACACACAGACACACACACACAGACACACAGACTCGCTCCCCACAGAGACACACACACAGACACACACAGAGACTCACTCCCCACAGAGACACACAGACACACAGAGAGACACAGACACACACACACAGACACAGAGACACTCGCTCCCCACAGAGAGACACACACACAGACACACAGAGAGACACACAGACACACACAGACACTCGCTCCCCACAGAGAGACACACACAGAGAGACACAGACACACACAGAGACTCGCTCCCCACAGAGAGACACACACATAGACACTTTCTGCTGCTCCCACTTAAGAAGCCATCACAATCAAATAAATAACCCTCCCACCCACCCGCCCGATGCCCCGTCACACTACGTCAAGTATACTACCACTACTCACACCTCCCCCCGAAGCTACGAGACTACATCACGTCACCATCCCTACTCAACTCACCAGCTACCCCGACCCACCGACGCACACCACCACATCAAGTATACACCGGCCACACGCATCTTGTGGGGAGGGGTGGCGACGTGGATAATATTTACAAGTGGCAGGCGGGAATTGAGGAATCTGTGCGGCGTTTGAGAGGCGAGGGAGTTTCCGCCGCTTTGGGGCGATGTTCCAGGACGAGTGGGGGTGGTGGTGATGATGGCGATTGTGGTGATTGATGGTGGTGACGATGTTGATGGTGGTGATTGTGATGGCGGTGATGATGGTGGTGGTGGTGATGATGGTGGTGATGATGGTGGTGATGATGATGATAATGATGGCGGTGATGATGATGGTGGTGATGATGGTGGTGATGATGGGTTCAAATGGAACAGGCCCTGGCTAGCTCAGCTGATGCTCGTTAACCCCGAGACTCCCATATCGCGCAGGGGGCGGGGCCTAACAGTATAGGGGCGGGGCTAGCAGTTTAAGGGCGGACCTATAGTTTGTGGGGGCGTGACTAGGATAGTTAGGGGGGGTGGGGCTACTGTTTAGGGGAGGGGTTAGGGGAGTTGAGGGTGGGGCTAGTGTTTCAGGGAAGGGCCAGGGGAGTTGAGGGCGGGGTTAGGAGAGGGGCTCTGGGATTTGAGGGTGGAGTCGGTGTTTGGGGGAGGGACCAGGGGAGTCGAGGGTGGGGTTGGTGTTTGGGGGAGGGGCCATCAGGGTTAAGGGCGGGGTTAGTGTTTGGAGGCGGGTCCAGGGGAGTCTAGGGCGGGGTTAGTGTTTGGGGGAGGGGCCATCGGGGTTAAGGGCGGGGTTAGTGTTTGAAGGCGGGGCCAGGGGAGTCTAGGGCGGGGTTATTATTTGGGGGCGGGGTTAGGGGGGTTGGGGGAGGGGCCGCCTCAGGTGGAGAAGTCGCTGGAGCGACGGCGACTGCCCATCTTGGACCTGGGGTGGGTGGGGGGGGGTCACAGAGAGAGTTCAGAGGGGGCTAGACCACAGCGTGTCTCGTCACTGTTCTGGCGTGAGTCCACCCCCGTGAGTCTATCACCGTGAGTCCACCCCCGTGAGTCTCTCACCGTGAGTCTCTCACCGTGAGTCTCTCACTGTGAGTGTCCCCCCCCCCCGTGAGTCCACCTGTAAGTCCACCCCCGTGAGTCCACCCCCGTGAGTCCACCCCCGCGAGTCCACCCCCGTGAGTCTCTCACTGTGAGTCTCTCACCGTGAGTCCACCCCCGTGAGTCTCCCTGTAAGTCCCCCTGTGAGTCCACCCCCGTGAGTCCACCCCCCCCCGTGAGGAGTCCACCTGTAAGTCCCCCCGTGAGTCCACCCCCGTGAGTCCACCCCCGCCCCCGTGAGGAGTCCACCTGTAAGTCCCCGCGGCCAGGGGGTTGAATGTGTAGAGCCAATCCTGCAGGTCGCGGGAGCTGGAGGCCTGCAGCAGCAGCCCGCGGTGCTGTGTGCAGAGCGCAAACGTGAACGGGGTCTGGGTGGGGGGGGGGTGAGGGGGGGTGACGGGTGGGTGAGGAAGAGAAAACCATTACACTCCATCTTTCGCCAATCTCTCTCCCCCCCACCTCTCTCCCCCCCCACCTCTCTCTCCCCCTCCCTCTCCCTCTTTTTTTACGATCAGAGGAAACAAGAAGATGCTCGGTGTAGTCGGCACTTTGCTCCGTTCATCATTTCGGTTTTTTTGTTTTTTGTTATGCTTTGCTTTATGTAAACCCCCCCCCCCCCTTTTAAATGAAAGACCCAAAACATTTTTTTCCCCTTCCCTCTCTCTCTACCCCCTCTCTGCCTCTCCTCTCTCTCTGCCCCCTCTCTTCCTACTCCATTTGGCTCTCTCTCGCTCTCTCTTTTTTATTTATAACTACGACAAGTGCTGCATCTGCACGCAGCCCTTCCCACAGTCAAACGGCCTCCGACGGGTAGCTCAGATCCGCACGCGCAGAGCTCTCTACCGTCATCTGCCACCGAGCACACGGCCTCCTCCGGTGCCCACTGCTCCTTGAAGGCCGGCACGGCGTGGGTCAGCCGCGCACGGCGGAACTCCGGCCCACACACCCTGGCTCCGACCAGAGCGCGGAAGATGCCCAGGCTGCTGGCTGGACGTTTCCCCTCCAGGGCCACCTTCCTCGCCCTGTATATGGCGAGGCTTTGGCGTAGCCGAAGAGCAACGTTGACCGGCCCCTGAAGATGTTGGGGTCCGTCGCCCTTCGGGTATCCAAAGATGAGGACCGTCGGGGAGAAGTGGAGGCTGAACCTTAGGAGGATGTTTCTCAGGACCTTGAACAGCGAGTCCAGGCTCTTGCACTCCACGTATTGGTGCGCCACCGTCTCCACTTTACCGCAGAACCGGCACTCCGGGGACGTGTCGGTGAAGCGCGCCAGGGAGACGTTGGTGGTGACGGTGCCGTGGGCGATGCTCCAGCCGAGGTCGCCGATGCGGTTGTACGTCGGCCTGCAGTAGAGTTGCCTCCAGCGAGGCCTCTCCGGATAGACGCAGGGCAGGGCTCTCCTCCAGGCGTGGTCCTTGTGGCTCCTCAGGGTGTCCTGTTGGTGGAACCGGACCATGTAGGAGTAGAGCACCTTCCTCTTTACATTTGCGAAGGCCACCTCCGGTAGGTCTTCTAGCCGGCACAGGTTGTGATCCGCCTTGGTTTGTCGGCATTGGAGATGCAGTGGCACGACTGAGAGCTCCGGTGGAGGGGGATCGAGAGGGGCCTCGTCATCCCCAACGCCGATGGGGGGGCGTTCTCCCCGCTGCCGCTGAGAAGGCCCCCTTGGCTTCGGCCAGGATCCGGGCAGCCACCCGGAGCGACTGCAGCCCTGTCTTTGCGGCCATGTCTGCTGGTCCGAGCCACCGGCCCCGTGTTTCAGGCTCCACCAGATCTCCCATCCTGGTGAGCCGCGCGTTGGCGAGGCGCCTCTCCATGCCAGGGGTGGTGGTGGTGGATGGCAGCTTTTTCTGTGGGTTCCTGAGGATCGGTTCGAAGACCAGATCCTCGGCCGATCGCGGTTGGTTCAGCCTCCTGATGGCGAGGGAGCTCCACGTCTGCAGGACGCTTCTGTAGAAGGGTGGCAGCTGTCCCAAGTGGGAGGCCCTGCAGGTCCATGTAGAATATTTGCTTGGAGCACTGCAGACCCCCCAGCTGTTTCAGGAGGAAGGAGGCCGTGACGCTCCAGGCCGGTGCAGGGGCGGCGTGCAGGAACTTTTGCGCCGCCTCAGTCGGAAGGTGGCCAGCTGACTCCGCACGCACACCAGCCCGTGACCGCCCTCGTCCAGTGGCAGGGCCAGGACCCCAGCCGCGACTCCGGTGTCCTCCACCCGACCGGAAGAAGTCGAGGACTCGCTTCTGAAGTGCGTTGACGAGGCTCATGGGGGGGTGCAGGGAGAAGAGTCGGTGCCACAGCATGGACATCACCAGCTGGTTCACCACCAACGTCTTTGTCCTGAAGGTGAGGAACTTGCACAGGCGACCCCAGGTGCCCAGCCGCTCCTTCACCTTCTCCTCCAGCCCGACCCAGTTCCCTCTGCGGTGGTTCCTCCTCTGGTCCGAGGAACACTCCCAGGTGGTGCAGCGATGTTGTGCTCCAATTGATGGCTTTTGTCTTCTCGGGACACTCGGTAATGTCCCACGCTCCAACCAGCAGGCCGCTGCACTTTTGCCAGTTCATTTTTGATGAGGAGGCTTTCGAAAAGACCTCCTGGCACTCGTGCAGCAGGGCGACATCAGCCAGGGAGCGCAGGATGAGGAGGACGTCGTCGGCGTATGCCGTCAGGACCAACTTGACGCTTGGTTCCCTCAGCACCAGGCCGCTGAGTCTCCGCCTTATGAGACTCAGGAAAGGCTCTAATCCCAGGGCATAAAGTTGGCCCGACAATGGGCATCCCTGTCTTACTCCTCGCTCGAATTTGACCGGGGCAGTGAGGGCGCCGTTGATCTTGATCATGCACTCCGCCTTGGTGTAGAGTAGGCGGATCGTTCGGACAAAGGCATCCCCAAAACCCAAGGTCTTGAGGGTTCCCAGCAGGTACTTGTGGTCCACTCTGTCAAAAGCCTTTTCCTGGTCAAGAGCCAGAAACGCGATTGGGATGCCCAACCTCTGGGACACCACGATGAGGTCCCTGACCAGGAAGATGCCGTCGTGGATGGTTCGTCCGGGGATGGTGTAGGACTGGGTCCCCGTTTACGACTTGCGCAATCACCCCTTTCAGTCGCAGGGAGAGAGCCTTCGTCAATATTTTGTAGTCTGTGTTCAGGAGGGACACCGGACGCCAGTTTTGCAGGTGCCTCAGGTCTCCGTTCTTGGGAAGCAGAGTGAGCACCGCCCTCCTCCAAGACTGAGGCGTCACCCCCGGTGACTGAGGCTTCCTCCAGCACCTCTCTGTAGTCCTCCCGCAGGGATGGCCAAAAAAGCGGCATAAAACTCCCCTGTTAGTCCGTCTAACCCTGGGGATTTATTCGGGGCCAGTCCTCTTACGGCTGCGTCAAGGTCAGTCCTGGTGAGCTTTTGCTCTAGCAGCTCTCCCCCGTCTTCCCCCAGGGTGGGTAGACCGCTCCATGCCTCCGCCTGGGCCGGTTCCGATGTTTCTTCAGGGGAGAACAGGCTGCCGTAGAAGTCTCTGTTGACGGTCGACTTCTGCTGGAGTTCGTGCACCAGGACACCGTCACCATCAGAGGCACTCCGTGGATTTGCGTCTCCCGTTCTGCCTCCCGAGGGAGTAGAAAAGCGGGGATCCCGTGTCGAGGTCCGTGATGAGCTTCACCCGGGATCGCACAAACGCTCCCCTCGTCTGCTCCTCCTGTAGCCCTTTGAGATGCTCCCTATTCTCCTCGTATTCTCGGAGAAGAGCGGGGGTCGCTGTCCTCGGCGAGGCGACCCTCCAAATTGAGGACTCGGGCTTCCATGTCGGTGATGTCCACGTTCTTCAGTCTGGTGCTCCCCCAGGTGTATTGTTGGCACAACAGCCTGGTGTGCACTTTGCCCATATCCCACCACTGGGCCAGAGAGTCGAACTGCGTTTTGGTTTTTCGCCACTCTTCTCAGAAGTCCTCGAACATTTCTAAGAAGGTGCCATCCTGCAGCAGTGAGTTGTTAAAATGCCAGCGGGACGCGCCCTCACGGTGGGCCCTCTCCAGCCTGACACGGAGCACGATGAGGTTGTGGTCCGTGAAGGGTGCCGCCCTCATGCCAGACGTTATGGCGCACGTCACAAAGCTCTTAGAGATGTAAAATCTGTCGAGCCTGGACTGCGTCACTGAGCCATCGCGCCTCGTCCTCGTGTACGTGAACTGGCGTTGGCCCGGGTGATGTATGTGCCTCTCTCTCTCTCCCCCTCACCTCTCTCTCTCCCCCTCACCTCTCTCTCTCCCCCTCACCTCTCTCTCTCCCCCTCACCTCTCTCTCTCCCCCTCACCTCTCTCTCTCCCCCTCACCTCTCTCTCTCCCCCTCACCTCTCTCTCTCCCCCTCACCTCTCTCTCTCCCCCTCACCTCTCTCTCTCCCCCTCACCTCTCTCTCTCCCTCACCTCTCCCCCCCACCTCTCCCCCCCACCTCTTCCCCCCACTCCACCTCTCACCGCCCCCGCACCCTCCCCCCCTCACCCCCCCCTCACCCTCCCCCCCTACCGTGAGTGAGGCCTGCCGATCCTGCCCGTGCTGCTGCACCACGCGTGCAGCCCGGAGGTCCAGGGCCCCACGCTCACAGCGGTCGCTCTCCGCGTTGTAGAGGAGTGCAAACGGCCGCCGCACGCACAGCCAGCGGCGGGTCCAGATGCCCGCTGGGGACTCGAGCACGTTCAGGTAGCCGCTCTTGGTCACCACGGGGCTACACGGTGGGCGGGTGGTGGGTGGGTGGTGGGGAGAGAGAGGTTCAGGTTGACACTCTTGGTCACCACGGTGGGTGGGTGGTGGGAAGAGAGAGGTTCAGGTTGACACTCTTGGTAGGTGGTGAGTGAGTGGGTGGTGAATGACTGGGTGAGGAGGTGGTGGGTGAGTGAGTGAGTGGCTGAGTGAGTGGCTGAGTGAGTGAGTTGGTGGTTGAGTAAGTGGGTTGGTGAGTAGGTGAGCTAGTAGGTGACCGAGTTATTGAGTAGGTGAGTGGATGGGTAGGCGAGTGGCTGGGTAGGTGAGTGGCTGGGTCGGTGAGTGGCTGGGTCGGTGAGTGAATGAGTGGCTGAGTGAGTAGATGAGTGAGTAGGTGAGCGAGTGAGTAGGTGAGCGAGTGAGTGGCTGGGTAGGTGAGTGGCTGGGTCGGTGAGTGAATGAGTGGCTGAGTGAGTAGTTGAGTGAGTGAGAAGGTGAGTGAGCGGCCGAGTGAGTAGATGAGTGAGTGAGTGAGTAGATGAGTGAGTGAGTGGCTGAGTGGCTGGGTCAGTGAGTGGCTGGGTCGGTGAGTGGCTGGGTCGGTGAGTAAATGAGTGGCTGAGTAGTTGAGTGAGTGAGTAGGTGAGTGAGTAAGAAGGTGAGTGAGCGGCCGAGTGAGTAGATGAGTGAGTGAGTAGATGAGTGAGTGAGTAGGTGAGTAAGTGAGTGGCTGGGTAGGTGAGTGGCTGGGTTGGTGAGTGAATGAGTGGCTGAGTGAGTAGTTGAGTGAGTGAGTAGGTGAGTGAGTAGATGGGTGAGTGAGTGAGTAGGTGAACGAGTAAGTGGCTGAGTGGCTGGGTAGGTGAGTGGCTGGGTCGGTGAGTGGCTGGGTCAGTGAGTGAATGAGTGGCTGAGTGAGGAGATGGGTGAGTGAATAGGTGAGTGAGTAGATGGGTGAGTGAGTAGTTGAGTGAGTGAGAAGGTGAGTGAGTAGTTGAGCAAGTGAGTAGATGGGTGAATGAGTAGATGGGTGAGTGAATAGGTGTGTGAGTGAGTAGATGGGTAAGTGAGTAGTTGAGTGAGAAGTTGAGCGAGTGAGTAGATGAGTGAGTGGTTAGGTGAGTGAGTGGCTGGCCTGACTGGCCGGGCGAGTGGCAGGGTGAGCGGCAGGTGGTGAGTGGTGAGTTGCACTCACCTCAGCCGGACCTCGCTCACCCGCGCCACGCAGCGGCCGCCGCCGTCGGCCACCGCCTCCCTCCCCCTCTCCTCGGCGACGAGGAGCGGCAGCTCGCTCCTCACCACCTCGCTCACCTCGCTCACCTCGCTCACCAGCCTACACTCGCAGAGAGAGAGAGAGAGACACTCACCCACACTCATCCACCCACCCACTCACCCACCCACCCACTCACCCACCCACCCACTCACCCACCCACCCACCCACCCACCCACCCACCCACCCACTCACCCACCCACCCACCCACTCACCCACTCACCCACCCACCCACCCACTCACCCACCCACCCACTCACCCACCCACCCACCCACCGACTCACCCACCCACTCACCCACCCACCCACCGACTCACCCACCCACTCACCCACCCACCCACTCACCCACCCACTCACCCACCCACCCACTCACCCACCCACTCACACACCCACCCACTCACCCACCCACCCACTCACCCACCCCCCACTCACTCACCCACCCCCCACTCACTCACCCACCCTTCCACTGACTCACTCACCCACCCACTCACTCACCCACTCACTCACTCACCCACTCACTCACCCACCCACTCCCCATTCACCCACCCAGTCATACCTTCACCTATCCACCCACCCACTCATCCCCTCACTCATCCACCCACCAATTTACTCACCCACCCATCCACTCACCCACCCACTCATCCACTCACCTACCCTTCCACTGACTCACCCACTCCCCACCCACTCACTCACCCACCCACCCACTCACTCATCCCCTCACCCATCCACCCACCCCCTCACCCATCCACTCATCCACCCACTCATCCACCCATCCACTCACCCACCCTTCCACTGACTCACCCATTCCCCACCCTTCCACTGACTCACCCACTCACCCACCCACCGACTCCCCACTCACCCACTCACTAACCCACCCACCCACTCCCCACTCACTCATCCCCTCACCCATCCACCCATCCACTCACCCACCCTTCCACTGACTCACCCATTCCCCACTCACCCACCCACCCACTCATCCCCTCACCCATCCACCCATCCACTCATCCACCCACCAATTCACTCACTCACCCACCCATCCACTCACCCACCCACCCTTCCACTGACTCACCCACCCACCTACTCACTCACCCGTGCTCACACACGTGATGAGAGAGTGGGGGGGATGGAGTCCCGGGGGCGGAGTCAGAGGAGGAGCCGTGGGAGGAGCCTCCTCCAGCTCCGCCACCTCCTCCCAGTCCCACTCCACTGCTAGATGACTCCGACAGCTGAAAGGGTTAGGAGAACAGATACTGGATGGTGAGTGGCTGGATCAGTGTGTGGGTGGGTTAGTGGGTGGGTGAGTGAGTGAGTGGATGTATGGGTGTGTGGGTGGGTGTGTGAGTGCGAATGGGTGGGCGAGCTGGTGGGCGAGCGGGTGGGTGGGTGAGCGGGTGGGTGGGTGAGCGGGTGGGTGGATGAGCGGGTGGGTGGGTGAGCGGGTGGGTGGGCGGGTGGGTGGGTGGGTGAGCGGGTGGGCGGTTGAGTGAGTGAGTGGATGTATGGGTGTGTGGGCGGGTGAGCGGGTGGGTGGGTGTGTGGGCGGGTGAGCGGGTGGGTGGGTGGGTGAGTGAGTGAGTGGATGTATGGGTGTGTGGGCGGGTTTGTGAGTGCGAATGGGTGGCTGAGCGGGTGGGTGGCCGAGCGGGTGGGCGGGTGAGCGGGTGAGTGAGTGGTTGGGTCCGGCAACAACAACCCCCTACCTCCTCGTGGTGCCGGACGGCAACGCTTTGGTGGGCAGTGCCATGGGGGGGGGAGGGCCAATTCCGATTGGCCCTTTCCCTTCTTACGTCTGTAACAACCACAGCGGCCGAAGGGGGGCTCTGGACAGGTGTGAGGGGCTGGTAACCCCTCCACCTTCAATTAACTACCACTAAACTACGATGTAAAAAACGTATTAAGCTTGTGCCGGAGGCCCCGGGGGGACAGGCGTCATGATGCTGGCACCTGGCCTGGAGTGATTGTAAGGCATGGGCCGGATCAGCTCAATAACAACGGTAGGAGGCTGCTAGATTTTTGTGCAGCCACGTGGGCTTGTAATTACCAACACGCCGTTCCGGCATCGGCGCATCCACACAACATCATGGATGCACGCCGGGTCCAAGCAAGAACATCTGCTGGACTACGTAGTGACGGACCAGCGGATGCGGGCCCATGTCCTTGACACCAGGACCTACTGTGGAGCTGATCTGCCCTCTGACCATCGACTAGTCATCTGTAAGATGCGCCTGCCATTCTTCCACTCCGGTGGTGGGTGTACACCCAGGACCCCATTCCAACCTGAAGTGGTCTGGTCTCAGTTATCTGATGAAAGTTGCAAGCGAGAATTTCATCATCGCTTGCGGCTGGGGTTGGAATCGCCCCCCACTCCTGATGTCGAGGGTAAATGAGCGATGTTTAGGACTGTGACTCATGCAGCTGCAATGGCTGCTTTGGGTACGTGGTCCAGACCTCCCCAGAGACCTTGGCTGACAGAGGAGGTGTGTTCAGGCTAGCTGAGAAAAAGCGACAGGCCCATTCTCATCGTCTACAGCAGGAGTGGGGATCCTTTTTTCTGCCAAGGGCCATTCGGATATTTATAACATAATTCGCGGGCCATACAAAATGATCAACTTAAAAATTAGCCTGTTATATTTGGTCAAACGTTTAACTAACTCACCCCTAATGTGATGGCTGGAACAGACTAAATGATTTCGCGGGCCTTATACGGCCTGTGGGCCCGGACGTTCCCCACCCCTGGTCTACAGAATCCCACGTCAGAGAATGAGGAGGCTGACTGCAGCCTTCGCTCGGAGGTTCGGACAGCCGTGAGGCACTGCAAGGATGGGTGGTGGTCACGGGTTGCTGAGGAGATGGAGTCTGCCTCAATGGCCCGCGATCACAAATCGCTCTTTAATTCCATCATTAGGATAAATAATGGTGATCCAATATCCGACCCCCAGGAACAAGTTTGCAGATTTGCTGAGCATTTCTGTGAGGTCCTGGCGGAGGAGAAATCCCTCAGCCAGGAAAACAACGTGGGACAAAGTGGGGATGACCCTGCTGAGGCTGCGGTGCCTCAAATATTGGAAGAAGTCACCCCCTGTGAGTGGCTGGCTGAGGTGCCATCTGTGGAGGAAGTACTGAAAGCGATCCGGAGTCTGAGACCAGGAAAGGCAGCAGGCAGAGATGATCTCCCAAGCGAAATGCTGAGGGAGGGTGGCATTGGTGCACAGACTGCTCTATATGACATCATAACAACAGTCTGGACCACTGGACGGGTTCCACAGGATTGGAAGGATGCCCTGGTGGTCCCCCTCTTTAAGACAGAGGACCACACAGACTGTAACAACTACAGGGGCATCTCACTCCTCAATGTGCCGGGAAAGGTCCTGGCAAGGATTATTCAACATCGCCTTGCCTGACCCACTGCTCACGATCATTAAGGACATTCATGATTGTGAGCGGGCCCGTGTAAAACTACGTGGCCGGGAGTCAGAGCCATTCCCTGTACACCTTGGGGTGCAACAGGGATGTCTTCTGGTTCCCACATTATTTAACATCTATTTCGACCACGTTTGTGAAGCCTTCAGTAGCTGTACCAGATGAATTTCCATCTGGTACAGATACAATGGGAGGCTGATCGATGCCCGGGTGTGGTCAAGGGATGGCTCCCTATCGCTCAACCATGTTATGTATGCCGATGATCTCAGAGGAGGAGTTGGAGGCGCTGCTGCTGAACCTGGAGCTTGCCACTAAGAGGTGGGGCCTTACCATCAGCCCCACCAAAACTAAACACCTGCCTGGGTATTTTGTACCATCAGGCACTCCACCCCCACAACTCCCAATCGGTGATGGGGCAGTTGTGGAGAGAGTGGAGATTTTCTCATACCTGGGCAGTGTGCTCTTGATCGGCTCCAGTTTGACAGCAGAGGTCTCACTCCGAATCAGTCGAGCGGCAATATCTTTTCATCGGTTGCGTAACGCTGTGTGAAAGCTACCTGGTCTGTCGCTCTGCACGAAGCTTCAGGTCTTCTCCGCCACAGTCATTCCCTCCCTTCACTACGCTTGCAAAACATGGACCCCCCCCTAATGGAACATCTTCGCCGGTTAGAAACATTTAGGCTCGCCTGCCTCAGATCCATCCTGGGTTTAACCAGGCTGGAATGTGTGAGGAGCTCACAAATCCTTGAAAGATCTGGACAGAGTCCCATCGGTGAGCTCCTCCGGCAGGCAAGGCTGCATTGGCTGGGTCACATAGCCCGCATGCCCAGCCACCGCATGCCGAAACAGCTTTTGTTTGGCCAGATCGAGGAGGCTAAACGGGCGGGTTACGGGCTAGAGAAGAGATGGAGTGACGTGGTACAGGAGGACGTGGAGCTGAGTTGACTTGCCGATGACTGGTACCAGCGGTGTCAAGATCGGCCTCTGTGGAGGAGGCTCGTGAAGGACGCTACTGGGCAGTTGGAGGCAGTCGCCCTCCAACAACGGCGGAGGAGCGACGCTCACAACAACGAGCGGAGCGCCGGGTGGCTAAAGCACAACCAGTTGGCACAGTAGGGGGCACAGGTGGTGCATCAGCCAGTCGTCTCAGTCAGTCGACCCGTGGCACCTGCTGGGTCTGCCCCGTGACCTCCCGCCCGCGGGCTTTCGCCACTTCATGTGGCCTCAGGGTGCACATAGCCTGGCACAAGCGTCGTGGTGACGTCACCGCCACTTAGTGGCGAATGGCGGTTGTTGTTGTTGTTGGGTGGGTGGGTGAGTGGGTGCGTGGGTGAGGGAGTGGGCGCGTGGGTGAGTGGGCGCGTGGGTGAGTGAGTGGGTGGGTGGGTGAGTGGGTGGGTGGGTGAGTGGGTGGGTGGGTGGGTGAGTGGCTGGGTGGGTGAGTGGGTGGGTGGGTGAGGGAGTGGGCGGGCGACGCTTACCTTGAGGCAACTGAAGCTCCCGTGCAGGGTTCCATGCGTGCGGTTGAACGTGTGCGTCATGAGCTTCAGACACTGCAATGACAAACGATCCCCCCGGGGGTAGCCTCAAGCACCGACCTCTTCCACTGCCGCTCGCCACTCACCGCTACCATGTCTCTAACGCCGAGCCCATGTCACTGTGACCCTGCCCCGTGAGCCTGGCGATGACCCTGACCCGTGACCCTGACCTGTGACCCTGCCCCGTGAGCCTGCCCTGTGAGCCTGGCGATGACCCTAACCCGTGACCCTGCCCTGTGAGCCTGGCGATGACCCGTGACCCTGCCCCGTGACCCTGCCCCGTGACCCTGCCCCGTGAACCTGGCCATGACCCTGCCCCGTGACCCCGCCCATCACCCCCACGTTGACCCTGCCCGTGACCCCCCCCGACCCATGACCTCCACCCCCGACCCCTGACCTTGAGCACGAGGGCCCTCTCCCTGTCGTGGAGGCAGTCGCAGGACCTCACGAGGGCCGACTCCTCCACCCCCGCTCCTCCGCCTCCCCCGCAGCCGGGGCCCCCCGGGCCCCCCGGGCCCCCCCCGGCCCCACCCCCTCCGGGGGTGCAGGTGCCCACGTCCCTGCGGCCGGAGGGGGGGCCCCCAAGTTGGGGGGCGCCCGGCCCCCCGGCGTCGTCGTCGTCGTCGTCGCGGTCGTCGTGGTCGTGGTCGTCGTGGTGGTCGCCATGGTCACCGTGCAGGAGCTGCTGCTGCTGCTGGTGCTGGTGGTGCTGCTGGTGGTGCTGCTGCTGGTGGCGGTTGCGGCGGTGGTCCAATTGGGGGGCCCGGGAGGGGGAGTCGAGCGCCGAGGGAGGGGGGCCCGCTTTGTGGGGGCAGCCGTGGGTCAGCTTGTCGCGGAGAGACAGGAAGTGGCGAGTTCGCTCCACCTGCACGGTGGGTGGGTAGAGGGGAGTGGGTGGGTAGGGAGTGGGTGGGGGGGGTAGGGAGTGGTGGGGGGGGCAGGGAGTGGTGGGGGGTTAGGGGGAGGGTGCGTGGGGGGGGGGTATTGGTGCCCCTGTGGACATCTATGACCAAGGAGCCGCGTAGGCCCCCCCCCCTATTGGATTTCCCCGTTACGGCAGAAATAGTCGTCGGTTTAAAGCTTCTCGTGCCTGCGGGGCAAATTCACGTTGTTCTTGGTTTTCTCATTTCGGTAAAAAGGTCGCCGCCACGTTAGGAGGAGGAGGAGGAGGAGGCGGCGGCGGGGGGATTGAAACGATTAAAAAAAACACGACGGAAATTATAAAAACGATGCAATTCTCACGACGTTTCGACTGCAGCACCAGATAGCAATCGTTGTCATCATCATCGTCGGAGTGTGTGTGTGTGTGTGAGTGTGTGAGTGTGTGTGTGTGAGTGTGTGAGTGTGTGTGTGAGTGTGTGTGTGTGAGTGTGTGTGTGGTGAGTGTGTGTGTGTGTGTCTGTGTGTGTGTGTGTGAGTGTGTGTGTGTGAGTGTGTGTGTGTGTTGTCCGGCAAAACAACCCCCTACCTCCTCGCGGTGCCGGACGGGCAACTCTGTCGTGGACAGTGCTGTGGGGGGAGATCCAATTTTGATTGGCTCCTCCCCTCATGGCATATGTGTCCACCACAGGGGCTAAACGGGGGCTCTGGACGGGTGCGAGGGGCTGGTAACCCCTCCACCTTCAATTAATTACCACGAAACCACGAATTAAACTGAAATATGTAACTAATAAGCTTGTGCCGGAGGCCCCGCGGGGCCAGGCGTCTATGACGTCTCCTGGCCAAACCCCAATTGGCGGAGCCAGGAGATTGAATACCTACCCTCGGGGCTACTCCAGAAACAACGAAAAGCCACTACGGGTGGCCACGTGGAATGTTCGAACGCTCACTGCAGAGGAGAGGCTGCCACTCCTCTGTCGGGAGCTGGACCGGTACCGCCTGGATCTATGCGGCATTTAGGAGGTCCGGTGGACCGCCTCTGGCTCCTGCCACCATGAGGGGTGGACAGTCCTCTACTCGGGGCAGCAGACTGCCAAACAACAGGGTGTGGGTCTTCTTTTGAACAAAAGAATGAAGGGGGCGTGGGAGCGTGGCGGTGAGGTGTGGGAAGCTGTAAGCCCCAGGCTACTTTGGGCTCGCCTTCCCATCAACCGGAGGCGAGGAATAGTGGTCGTGGTTACTTATGCCCCCACCGAAGATGAACATCCGTGGAGGGATGCAAGCAAAGCCGATGAGTCAGATGCCTTCTATGACCTCCTGTCACAGGTGCTGGCTAAAGTGGCCCCTCGGGATAGAGTCATCGTGTTCGGTGACTTCAATGCCCGAGTTTGTCATGATACTGGCACCTGGTCTGGAGTGATTGGAGGGCATGGGCCAGATCAGCTCAATAACAACGGTAGGAGGCTGCTAGATTTTTGTGCAGCCCATGGGCTTGTAATTACCAACACGCTGTTCCGGCATCGGCGCATCCACACAACATCATGGATGCATGCCGGGTCCAAGCAAGAACATCTGCTGGACTACATAGTGACGGACCAGCGAATGCGAGCCCATGTCCTTGACACCAGGACCTACCGTGGAGCTGATCTGCCCTCTGACCATCGACTAGTCATCTGTAAGATGCGCCTGCCATTCTTCCACTCCGGTGGTGGGTGTACACCCAGGACCCCATTCCAACATAAAGTGGCCTGGTCTCAGTTATCTGATGAAAGTTGCAAGCGAGAATTTCATCATCGCTTGCGGCTGGGATTGGCATCGTCCCCGACTCCTCCTGATGTCGAGGGTAAATGGGCGAGGTTTAGGACTGTGACTCATGCAGCTGCAATGGCTGCTTTGGGTATGCGGTCCAGACCTCCCCAGAGACCCTGGCTGACAGAGGAGGTGTTCAGGATGGTTGAGAAAAAGCGACAGGCCCACTGTCATCGGTTACAGAATCCTACGTCAGAGAATGAGGAGGCTTACCGCAGCCTTCGCTCGGAGGTTCGGAGAGCCGTGAGGCGCTGCAAGGATGGGTGGTGGTCGCGGGTTTCTGAGGAGATGGAGTCTGCCTCAGTGGCCCGTGATCACAAATCTCTATTTAACTCCATCAAAAAAGTAACCTGCAGCGCCACACCTATTACCATCATTAGGGGAAAAAACGGTGATCCAATCTCCGACCCCCAGGAACAGGTTCGCAGATTTGCTGAGCATTTCTGTGAGGTCCTGGGGGAGGGAAAATCCCTCAGCCAGGAAAACATCGTGGCACAAAGTGAGGATGACCCTGCTGAGGCTGCGGTGCCTCAAATATTGGAAGAAGTCACCCCCTGTGAGTGGCTGGCTGAGGTGCCATCTGCTGAGGAAGTATTGAAGGCGATCCGGAGTCTGAGACCAGGAAAGGCAGCGGGCAGAGATGATCTCCCAAGCGAAATGCTGAGGGAGGGTGGCGTTTGTGCACAGACTGCACTATGTGACATCATAACAACAGTCTGGACCACTGGACGGGTTCCGCAGGATTGGAAGGATGCCCTGGTGGTCCCCCTTTTTAAGAAGGGGGACCGCACAGACTTTAACAACTACAGGGGCATCTCACTCCTCAGTGTGCCGGGAAAGGTCCTGGCAAGGATTATTCAGCATCGCCTTGCCAGGCACGCTGAGGAGAGGCTTACGGAGCCCCAATGCGGTTTCAGGAAAGGGCGGTCCTGCACAGATGCCATATTTTCTGTCCGTCTGCTACAGCAGAGGTGTAGGGAATTCCAACAAGACCTACATCTCTGCTTTATTGACCTGGTCAAGGCCTATGATACCATCAGTAGGCCTGGGCTCTGGGTCGTTCTTCGTGCTTTTGGAGTACTTGACCCTCTGCTCACGATCATTAAGGACCTTCATGATGGTGAGCGGGCCCGGGTAAAACTACGTGGCCGGGAGTCAGAGCCATTCCCTGTACACCTTGGGGTGCCACAGGGATGTCCTCTGGCTCCCACATTATTTAACATCTATTTTGACCACGTAGTTCGTGAAGCCTTCAATAGCTGTACCGGGGGAATCTCCATATGGTACAGATATAATGGGAGGCTGATCGATGCCCGGGTGCGGTCAAGGCATGGCTCCCTATTGCTCAACCACGTTATGTATGCTGATGATTTGGTAATAGCTGCTCAGTCAGAGGAGGAGTTGGAGACGCTGCTGCTGAGACTGGAGCGTGCCACTAAGAGGTGGGGCCTTACCATCAGCCTCACCAAAACTAAGCACCTGCCTGGGTATTTTGTACCATCGGACACTCCACCCCCACAACTCCCAATCGGTGATGGGGCAGTTGTGGAGAGAGTGGAGAGTTTCCCATACCTGGGCAGTGTGCTTATGACTGGCTCCAGTTTAACAGCAGAGGTCTCACTCCGAATCAGTCGAGTGGCAATATCTTTTCATCGGTTGCGTAACGCTGTGTGGAAGCTACCTGGTCTGTTGCTCCGCACTAAGCTTCAGGTCTTCTCGGCCACGGTCATTCCCTCCCTTCTCTACGCTTGCGAAACGTGGACCCCCCTAATGGAACATCTTCGCCGGTTAGAAACATTTAGGCTGGCCTGCCTACGATCCATCCTGGGTTTAACCAGACTGGATTGTGTGAGGAGCTCACAAATCCTTGAAAGATCTGGGCAGGGTCCCATCGGTGAGCTCCTCCGGCAGGCAAGGCTGCGATGGCTGGGTCATGTAGCCCGCATGCCCAGCCACCGCATGCCGAAACAGCTTTTGTTTGGCCGGATTGAGGGGGCTAAGCGGGCGCGGCACGGGCTAGAGAAGAGATGGAGTGATGTACAGGAGGACGTGGAGCTGAGTGGAATTGCCGATGACTGGTACCAGCGGTGTCAAGATCGGCCTCTGTGGAGGAGGCTCGTGAAGGATGTTACTGGGCAGTTGGAGGCAGTCGCCCTCCAACAACAACGGAGGGTGGAGGAGCGACGCTCAGAACAACGAGCGGAGCGCCGGGTGGCTAAAGCACAGCAGGTTGGCACAGTAGGGGGCACAGGTGGTGCATCAGCCAGTCATCTCAGTCAGTCGACCCGTGGCACCTGGGTCTGCCCCGTGACCTCCTGCCAGCGGGCGTTCGACACTTCACGTGGCCTCAGGGTGCACATAGCCTGGCACAAGCGTCGTGGTGACGTCACCGCCACTTAGTGGCGAATGGCGGTTGTTGTTGTTGTGTGTCTGTGTGTGTGTGTCTGTGTGTGTGTGTCTGTGTGTGTGTGACTGTGTCTGTGTGTGTGTCTGTGTGTGTCTGTGTGTGTGACTGTGTGTGTGTGACTGTGTGTGTGTGTGACTCTGTGTGTGTCTGTGTTTGTCTGTGTGTGTGTCTGTGTGTGTGACTGTGTGTGTGTGTCTGTGTGTGTGTCTGTGTGTGTGTGTCTGTGTGTCTGTGTGACTGTGTGTGTGTGTGTGTGACTGTGTGTGTGTGTGTCTGTGTGTGACTGTGTGTGACTGTGTGAGTGTGTGTGTGAGTGTGTGAGTGTGTGTGTGTGAGTGTGTCTGTGTGAGTGTGTCTGTGTGAGTGTGTGTGTGAGTGTGTGTGAGTGTGAGTGTGTGAGTGTGTGAGTGAGTGTGTGTGTGAGTGTGTGAGTGTGTGTGTGTGTATGTGTGAAAACCACAGCAAGAACAGTTCCAGATTTGAAGCGGTCGTGACCGCAGGGACCCATACTCCTTTGGTTCGATTCCGGGTAAAGTCAGTCGCCACGTCGAATGAGAATGAAATGAAAATAAATTGATCAAATAAAAATAACGCGATAAAAATTCTCACGACGTTTCGGCCACAGCGCGAAGCGGCCTTCATCAGGTGAAGGGGACCCGGCGCTGTCTCGAAGGCCTGATGAAGGCCCGCTTGTGTTTGTGGCCGAAACGTCGGGATTTTTTGTTGTTTTATTTTTTTTACCTTTACCTAACGTGATGGACTTTACCGAGTGGAACCAAAGAGTACGGCAAGAACATTTGAAGACAAATCCTCTTCGCGGGTTACCCTGCGGGTTACCCTGCGAGTTACCCGGCCAGGATTGCCCCCCGCCAGGATTGCCCCCCGCCACGATTGCCCCCCGCCCCCCGAGGGTACCTCGTGCATGCGCTGCAAGCGCTGCAGCTCCCACTGGTGCTCCAGCAGCAGGCTGTCGGCCCGGGGCCTCCACGAGCCCAGGTTCTCCTGGCCACGCACGTAGCCGCTGGCCGAGTCGACGACGCGGCGGGTACGTCGCGCCGTGCCTGCCGAGGGTGGGGGGGAGGGGGTGGGGGGAGAGGGGGGGGGGGAGGGGGTGGGGGGAGAGGGGGGGAGAGAGGGGGGGAGAGAGGGGGGGAGAGAGGGGGGGAGAGAGGGGGGGAGAGAGGGGGGGAGAGAGGGGGGGAGAGAGGGGGGGGAGAGGGGGGGGAGAGGGGGGGAGTCAGAGAGAGGGTGAGAGAGAGGATGAGAGAGAAAGAGAGAGAGGGGGAGAGAGGGGGAGAGAGAAAGAGAGAGAGGGGGAGAGAGTCAGAGAGAGAGAGTCAGAGAGAGGGAGAGAGAGAGGGTGAGAGGGAGAGAGAGAGGGTGAGAGAGAGGGGGAGAGAGTCAGAGAGAGAGTCAGAGAGAGAGGGTGAGAGAGAGGCTGAGAGAGACAGGAGGGAGGCAGGGAGGGAGAGTGCCTCACCTGGACTCCCGGGATCCACCGGGCGACACAGCCTCAGCTCGTACAACCCACTCACCCTCCTAGAGCACACACACACAGACACATAGGTTACACACACACACACAGGTTACACACACACAGACACACAGACACACACAGGTTACACACACACACACACAGGTTACACACACAGACACACATACACAGGTTACACACACACAGACACACACACACACAGGTTACACACACACACACACAGACACACACACAGGTTACACACACACACACAGACACACACACACAGGTTACACACACAGAGAGACACACACAGACACACACACACAGACATACACAGAGAGACACACACACAGACACACACAGAGAGACACACACACAGACACACAGACACACACAGACACACACAGAGAGACACACACACACAGAGACACAGAGACAGACACACAGACACACACACACAGGTTACACACACAGAGAGACACAGACACATTACACACACTGACACGTTACACACAGACACACACACAGACACACACACACACAGATACTTTACACACACACACAGGTTACACACACAGAGAGACACAGACACGTTACACACACAGACACGTTACACACACAGACACGTTACACACAGACACACACACAGAGAGACACACACAGAGACAGACACACACAGAGACACACACACAGAGACACACACACAGACACAGACACACACACAGGTTACACACACACAGACACACACACAGGTTACACACACACACAGGTTACACACACACACACAGACACACACACACGTTACACACACACGCTACACACACAGACACGTTACACACACACAGGTTACACACACAGAGAGACACACACACACACAGACACGTTACACACAGACACACACACAGAGAGACACACACACACGCAGACACACAGACACACACACAGCCACGTTACACACAGACACACAGACACGTTACACACAGACACGTTACACACAGACAAACACACAGACACGTTACACACAGCCACATTACACACAGCCACAGACACGTTACACACACACACACAGACAGGTTACACACACAGACAGGTTACACACGCAGACACACAGACACACACAGACAAGTTACACACACAGACAGGTTACACACACAGATACACACACAGGTTACACACACATACTCAGACAACAACAACAACCGCCATTCGCCACTAAGTGGCGGTGACGTCACCACCCTGAGGCCACGTGAAGTGTCGAACGCCCGCTGGCAGGAGGTCACGGGGCAGACACAGGTGCCACGGGTTGACTGACTGAGATGACTGGCTGATGCACCACCTGTGCCCCCTACTGTGCCAACCTGCTGTGCTTTAGCCACCCGGCGCTCCGCTCGTTGTTGTGAGCGTCGCTCCTCCGCCCTCCGTTGTTATTGGAGGGCGACTACCTCCAACTGCCCAGTAGCATCCTTCACGAGCCTCCTCCACAGAGGCCGATCTTGACACCGCAGGTACCAGTCATCGGCAAGTCCACTCAGCTCCACGTCCTCCTGTACCACATCACTCCATCTCTTCTCTAGCCCGTGCCGCGCCCGTTTAGCCCCCTCAATCCGGCCGAACAAAAGCTGTTTCGGCATGCGTTAGCTGGGCATGCGGGCTACATGACCCAGCCATCCCAGCCTTGCCCGCCGGAGGAGCTCACCGATGGGACCTTGCCCAGATCTTTCAAGGATTTGTGAGCTCCTCACACAATCCAGTCTGGTTAAACCCAGGATGGATCGTAGGCAGGCCAGCCTAAATGTTTCTAACCGGCGAAGATGTTCCATTAGGGGGGTCCACGTTTCGCAAGCGTAGAGAAGGGAGGGAATGACCGTGGCCGAGAAGACCTGAAGCTGAGTGCGGAGCGACAGACCAGGTAGCTTCCACACAGCGTTACGCAACCGATGAAAAGATATTGCCGCTCGACTGATTCGGAGTGAGACCTCTGCTGTTAAACTGGAGCCAGTCATAAGCACACTGCCCAGGTATGGGAAACTCTCCACTCGCTCCACAACTGCCCCATCACCGATTGGGAGTTGTGGGGGTGGAGTGTCCGATGGTACAAAATACCCAGGCAGGTGCTTAGTTTTGGTGGGGCTGATGGTAAGGCCCCACCTCTTAGTGCCACGCTCCAGTCTCAGCAGCAGTGTCTCCAACTCCTCCTCTGATTGAGCAGCTATTACCAAATCATCAGCATACATAACGTGGTTGAGCAATAGGGAGCCATCCCTTGATCGCACCCGGGCATCGATCAGCCTCCCATTATATCTGTACCATATGGAGATTCCCCCGGTACAGCTATTGAAGGCTTCACGAACTACGTCGTCAAAATAGATGTTGAATAATGTGGGAGCCAGAGGACATCCCTGTCGCACCCCAAGGTGTACAGGGAATGGCTCTGACTCCCGGCCACGTAGTTTTACCCGGGCCCGCTCACCATCATGAAGGTCCTTAATGATCGTGAGCAGAGGGTCAGGTACTCCAAAAGCACGAAGAACGACCCAGAGCCCAGGCCTACTGATGGTATCATAGGCCTTAACCAGGTCAATAAAGCAGAGATGTAGGTCTTGTTGGAATTCCCTACACCTCTGCTGTAGCAGACGGACAGAAAATATGGCATCTGTGCAGGACCGCCCTTTCCTGAAACCGCATTGGGGCTCCGCAAGCCTCTCCTCAGCGTGCTTGGCAAGGCGATGCTGAATAATCCTTGCCAGGACCTTTCCCGGCACACTGAGGAGTGAGATGCCCCTGTAGTTGTTACAGTCTGTGCGGTCCCCCTTCTTAAAGAGAGGGACCACCAGGGCATCGTTCCAATCCTGCGAAACCCGTCCAGTGGTCCAGACCGTTGTTATGATGTCATATAGGGCAGTCTGTGCACAAACGCCACCCTCCCTCAGCATTTCGCTTGGGAGATCATCTCTGCCTGCTGCCTTTCCTGGTCTCAGACTCCGGATCGCCTTCAGTACTTCCTCAACAGATGGCACCTCAGCCAGCCACTCACAGGGTGTGACTTCTTCCAATATTTGAGGCACCGCAGCCTCAGCAGGGTCATCCTCACTTTGTGCCACGATGTTTTCCTGGCTGAGGGATTTTCCCTCTCCCAGGACCTCACAGAAATGCTCAGCAAATCTGCAAACCTGTTCCTGGGGGTCGGAGATTGGATCACCGTTTTTTCCCCTAATGATGGTAAGAGGTGTGGCGCTGCAGGTTACTTTTTTGATGGAGTTAAATAGAGATTTGTGATCACGGGCCACTGAGGCAGACTCCATCTCCTCAGCAACCCGCGACCACCACCCATCCTTGCAGCGCCTCACGGCTCTCCGAACCTCCGAGCGAAGGCTGCGGTAAGCCTCCTCATTCTCTGACGTGGGTTCTGTAGCCGATGACAGTGGGCCTGTCGCTTTTTCTCAACCATCCTGAACACCTCCTCTGTCAGCCAGGGTCTCTGGGGAGGTCTGGACCGCGTACCCAAAGCAGCCATTGTAGCTGCATGAGTCACAGTCCTAAACCTCGCCCATTTACCCTCGACATCAGGAGGAGTCGGGGACGATGCCAATCCCAGCTGCAAGCGATGATGAAATTCTCGCTTGCAACTTTTATCAGATAACTGAGACCAGGCCACTTTAGGTCGGAATGGGGTCCTGGGTGTACACCCATCACCGGAGTAGAAGAATGGCAGGCGCATCTAACAGATGACTAGTCGATGGTCAGAGGGCAGATCAGCTCCACGGTAGGTCCTGGTGTCAAGGACATGGGCTCGGATCTGCTGGTCCGTCACTATGTAGTCCAGCAGATGTTCTTGCTTGGACCCGGCATGCATCCATGATGTTGTGTGGATGCGCCGATGCCGGAACAGCGTGTTGGTAATTACAAGCCCATGGGCTGCACAAAAATCTAGCAGCCTCCTACCGTTGTTATTGAGCTGATCTGGCCCATGCCCTCCAATCACTCCAGACCAGGTGCCAGTATCATGACCAACTCGGGCATTGAAGTCACCCAACATGATGACTCTATCCCGAGGGGCCACTTTAGCCAGCACCTGTGACAGGAGGTCATAGAAGACATCTGACTCATCGGCTTTGCCTGCATCCCTCCACGGATGTTCATCTTCGGTGGGGGCATAAGTAACCACGACCACCATTCCTCGCCTCCGGTTGATGGGAAGGCGAGCCCAAAGTAGCCTGGGGCTTACAGCTTCCCACACCTCACCGCCACGCTCCCACGCCCCCTTCATTCTTTTGTTCAAAAGAAGAGCCACACCCTGTTGTTTGGCAGTCTGCTGCCCCGAGTAGAGGACTGTCCACCCCTCAGACACACACACAGAAACACACGAACAGGTTACACACAGACACACACATACTCAGACACACAGACAGGTTACACACACAGACACACACAGACACGTTACACACACAGACACACACTCACCCACATATACACACACACAACAACAACCGCCATTCGCCACTAAGTGGCGGTGACGTCACCACGACGCTTGTGCCAGGCCATGTGCACCTTGAGGCCATGTGAAGTGTCGAACGGCCGCTGGCAGGAGGTCACGGGGCAGACCCAGGTGCCACGGGTCGACTGACTGAGATGACTGGCTGATGCACCACCTGTGCCCCCTACTGTGCCAACCTGCTGTGCCCTAGTCACCCGGCGCTCCGCTCGTTGTTGTGAGCGTCGCTCCTCCGCCCTCCGTTGTTGTTGGAGGGCGACTGCCTCCAACTGCCCAGTAGCGTCCTTCACGAGCCTCCTCCACAGAGGCCGATCTTGACACCGCTGGTACCAGTCATCGGCAAGTCCACTCAGCTCCACGTCCTCCTGTACCACATCACTCCATCTCTTCTCTAGCCCGTGCCGCGCCCATTTAGCCCCCTCGATCCGGCCGACAAAAAAGCTGTTTCGGTATGCAGTGGCTGGTTATGTGGGCTACATGACCCAGCCATCGCAGCCTTGCCTGCCGGAGGAGCTCACCGATGGGACCTTGCCCAGATCTTTCAAGGATATGTGAGCTCCTCACACAATCCAGTCTGGTTAAACCCAGGATGGATCGTAGGCAGGCCAG